TTGTTTTTTATATAACTAATATTTAAAGCTTTTTTCAAAATGTTGATTTTTGTCAGATAGCTGTAAATACTGTACGAAGAGGGATTTCCAAAAAATTTACAATGTTATCATTTAGTTAGAGTGTAGCCAAATTCTGGTTCAAGTCCCACATTTTCATCAAATGTATTTTTGCACATATTTGTTTATTGTGCTTACATAAACACATTATGCCTCTTTACAGCCAATTAGCGCAGTCTTCCAGAAACATATTTTATTTTTAATGAAAAATAAAATTAGCTTAGACTGGCCTCGTCTATGATTACGACATTTTTATGAGTATGAAAAAAACTCAATTATACCATACGCTAATTAGTTGGAACTTACTGCACTCATATACTGTTACAGTTTTCATAGTATTCCCCCTGCTGGAAAAACAATGTGTTCTTGGACAGACTTAATCAAATCTCAATGTTTATCAATCAGATTACGACTTCAGGTACAACAACACCTTAAAGTGCTTTCCGAAACATGCCAACTTTCTGGTTGCCCATCTAATGCTATCTTTACCTCCGCCATTTATTGTTTATTGTGCCATTAAAGAAATTTGCCTGACCAGGAAGAAAAAGACTACACCTTCTGAGCCCTCTTCTCTTGTTTGCGCCATTTCATAAAAGGCGTTGTACATTTTTCAGCGTGAACACGTGGTGGCACTACGCAGCACATCGACGTGTGACCACACGTTCTGTTACCTTTGAGACGAATCGATTCTTTACGTCATACAACACTTGTTATTCAAATGACATCCATTATTATATTATATTTTTTGACATTCATAAATCATTCGAAGAGTGTGTGTCAAAAACTTGCTAATTAATGCAATCGAGACTCTTTTGTTTGTGAACTTGTGATGGTTCTCAAACGGTTTTATTGTTGTATTTGTATAGTTATTGAAAAACAATACTGTTGGTTGAATCTTCAATTTTGAGTGACGTGTTGTTGACGACATCTAGATCCTTGATACTTTGTCAGTACATTTTTTAATTAATATGTTTTTAAATTGCACTGATAGATTGTTGTATGCCAAGGGATAAGTCCTATACGATATAAATATTCAAGTAAAATCCCTTACCGCCGCAAGGGATTTTGCGGGAATATTAGATAATATGTTTTATATAACAAAGGAAGGGACAAGGGAGGGATTTAGCCAAAGAGAATTACAGTGCAATTCTGCTATAAAAACAGCCTCAAACTCGACGAGCGTTACCCTGTGACAGCATAGTTTTGATAAAATAAAACTTTTATTACCTTTTCAAGTAGGTCTATTTGATTGAACATCCATGTTGATTTTTTTTATAGAATAGTATAGGTGAGAGTTACAAGTCAGTCTTCAGGTATCTTCAATTTCCTTGGCATTTATAACGCTTTTCATACATGCTCGCCGGTCGTTATGGCTCTTTAAAATAAATCTGAATAAACTTCATACTATTGTTAACTTCCCGCCTCTATGATACCGCATTTTTTTTTATAACTCAATGCCTATATTGGCAAAAGAGTTAAAGAGCTAAAGAGTTAAATATCAATCACACAAGCTTTGTCCTTAATTTTTCAGTTCAGTGCAAGTTTTCTTTTAATGATGCCGATGGCGTTGTTTGAGGTGCAGAACTCCGGACCTTTAGCCGGTCCAGCTTCGTCAGGTTATCGTTGTCTTAATAATATGTAAGGACCAGAACACGTGAACACGTGCCGTATGCCCATTGAGCCTACTGCCTCGGGTCATGCACTTGGTTTATGTTGCATATGTACCGTCCAAATACCAAAATATTGATGACGTCAATCTCAAATGTAACATGCAAGTTGGTAGCGGAGTTAAATTAGGCTTCGCTAGTTAAGTCCGCGACGTCGGTGCCACTGCGGTGAATTCACCAAAAATAGATTTCGATTGTATGGTGAGCAAACATACTAGTCGCAGTCGCTGTATACCTATGTGTTACAGCTGTATAGCAGGGCTCGGAGTGATAATTATAAAACACTACAAAAACTCTTTTTGTACTTTAGGACTTATTAAAGGGGAATCATCTATGAAACATGTTTTTTTTTGGCACAGAAAATTGCCTAGAAAAAAAAAATTAACAGCCCCTTTTTTATTGTACTGTAACAGCATAGTAAAAGTTATATACTTATTTAACTTTTACTACACTGGCAAAGTCGTTGCTAATGGTTAGTCTATTATAACGGCATACTACAACTAGTAGCAATAGTTTCCACACAGAACCTAAAACTACATTTGGATGCCAGCTGTTTTAGCTTTAGTTTGCTTGTAAATTCCTTAAAATCCATAAGGGCTTATTTATATTGTAAAATATGAATATGGTAGCATTTTTAATATTCTGGCAACACTGCTGGTATAGGTACTACTTGAACTGTAACTGCGCAGTGTCATCAGATGATCTGTATAATAAAACAGCTGAATAGAACAAGGTTTACGATAACATTTATAGAGAATTAATTATCTACGCCACCAGTCAACCAGCCGTGAAAAGTTCGTTCCCCTTTAAGGCTAGGATTTGAGCCTTTTCTGATTTGCTGATTTGATATCTTGAGTAGCTCGGTGGCGTAGTGGATAAGCGCCGCGGCCCACGATCGTTGTCGTTAAGCAACTTTCGCAAGGGTCGGTAACCGGATGGGTGACCAAAAAATGATTATCTCGAGCTACTCCGTGCTTCGGAAGGCACGTTAAGCCGTTGGTCCCGGCTGCATTTGCAGTCGTTAATACCCTCCAATCCGCATTGGGCTAGCGGCCCATCCTCCTTAACCATCCATAAGGAAGGCCTGAGCCCCTGCAGCAGTGGGGACGTAAAAAGACTGATGATGATGATGATGACTCGAAGTCCTTAGCACAATAATATTCAAACGGGAATAGAATTGCGCATCGAGCGCTTGATCTCAATCTTTGGAATGAAATTCTCCTATCTCCGTTAAGGGAATTAAGATTTCCATGACAAAAAAATTACATAATTTGAGCTTGTAACAATTTCGATTCCCAATATTCTACAGTCGATATTATCCAATAATGTTGGATAGTAAACATTCCAGAAGGTCCTTTGACTTAGCCTTTTAAAAAAATATCGGAATTTTACAGATGTCAAAGAAGAACATTTTTCAATGTTGTCCAGTTCCAGAGTCAGTTGTTATTTATGTTTTCAGAATAATAAAGCTTCATTCATCGTTACTTTATCATCGAGAGCCTCAATTCCTTACTTAACGTAAATTCGGAATGTCAATATAGTATAACAATATCCCCTTTTGTGAAAGCTTCTAAAATAAATTTATCTGACACCGTCGATTTAATAAATTTATCTGTCACCATCTATTTATCAAGTACCTACTTATAATATTAGCCCTCAGGCAGATAAAACAGTGGAATAGTACAATTAACGCCATTGAGATGTATCATTAGCCGAATCAAGGCCAAGATTATTGTATAGTATACTTATTAGTCTTATTACAAAACTCTGTTATTTAATAAACGGCATAATTATATTTGTAATGGTTGATGTCGGTAAAATCTATAACTAATAATGTTAATAATGTTAATTATGAAAAGCCAAAATAAGTAACAGTATAATTATATATTTTTTTAATCAATAATAATGATGAAGCGTGAAAGATTTGAATCGATTTAGAGTCATGCGAATCATAAAAATGAACCGCGAGGAGAAAAAATAATCTTTTGTAATTTTTCGATTAGTTGCTGCCTGCTAACTATTCCATATTAAACCAATTATCCTATGTTAAGCAAAAGTATATCTCTGAGTGTGAAACAAACTTTGTCAAAATTCGTTCCGTTATTAAAGGAGATGTTTCAAACTACACACCAAAACATCATCTTTCAAAATAGAGCATAACAACTGGTTTTGGCAAAAATCAATTGATTATTATGAAACAACATAATTTTGTCTAATTTAGAGACTGAAGCTGGCGACCTATATTAAAATGACAAACTGTATTGTTATTTTTAGATTGTCTGAAAGATGTGTTCTTTTATTTCATTGGTATTAATATGCATTTGGTTTTAATGTATTAATGGTTAGGTATCTGTTATACATTATTTCTTCATGATAACAAAATTATTAAAATCGAATAGTAAATATAAGACAACATCACACGCATTGCTCAAATTCCAAGATGAGTAGCTAAAGACCCCGTACTATAGAGTATCTGTAAAACAATATAGAAAATCCATTTTCTACTTTGACCGACGGCAAATCGAACCCGCGACCTCAGGGATACCGGCGTGCAACCCACTCGTCTACGGAGGTCGTAACAAACTGTTATAATTTTTTGACCTGGAGTGCATAGAGTGGAGTACATACATTTTGGGACAATTCCTTTTATTGTAACTTCAGAGACTTGAGAAATAAATTCTAAAATTAAAACCCAGTCATAAGTTGAAGCAGACTGTCAATTCCTATAGAGTGCTGCGTGATTTGATCGTTGTCTCATTGATTAATTATCTAGATCAAGGCTGAGACGTGAAAATTGAAAAAGTTAATAAAAACTGTGTCGTCTAAATATTTTTTTTGTTCGTTATCTCGTGCTTGTTCTTGCCGGTACTAAGTGGAGTGAGCTTGACTTTTTTTGAAGATTTCAATTGCTGTTTTATCTTTTGTTTTATTTTTTTGCGGCAATTAGAAACCTCTTTAGATGTAATAAGCTTTTTAAAGTAGCAAAAACATTTTCTAGAGAACACTTACAAATATTAGGTCAGTTGCACAAACTTCCATTAAGGTTTAATTATGCCTTTAAGCTTTAATGAATGTCAAATTTGTATGGATAATGTAGCTTTAAACTAATTAACGTTTTAATGGACGTTTGTGCAACTGGCTGATTAAGACGTAAAATAAAACCAAAATTATCTTTATTCATATTGTTAGTACAAGATATCTATCTATACCTACCACCTGTTCGAGACTTATTTTCTTGAAAGATTCCACACCAATTTCAATCTTCTTTGTTCACAGATTGATCAGAAATGTCCACGCAGTGACGTTCTACAGAACTCAACCCCGTAAATATAAGCCAACGTACTTATAATTATAAGCGAAATGTCTCATCATCTGGTAACAGTATGCATGTTTTGCTTGCTGTGCGCTGCTCACACATGCGGATCGCACATAGACATACAAAACGATGGTTTGCTGAAATTCGACCCGAATTTAGACGCTGGACAATTAGCGATAATAGAAGATAAGAGAAGAGTGGAATCGAAAGCGAGATACAATCAGAAACTTCAAAAGATAAGGCACAGAGACAGATCGAAGAGGGAATTGAAAAATGTTAATCCCAACTCGTATGTGGAACAGATCTTTAGATTGTACGGTGACGCTGGGAGTATGACTATGAATATAACAGGCTTTAATAGAATGTTGGAGAAGTTAGATCTGCATAAGTTGGTAGAGGGTGGAGTTGAGAAGACTGAAATTATTGACTACATCGGTCAGACTGGTGCTAGGAAAGATATTGTAAATGTGAGTATTTTAAATTGTGTACTCTTGCATTGCAGTAAAAATTGCAATTAGAAATATCTAGTATTACAAATTGATATCTCATCGTATTAGTAGAGGGATAGAATCGAAATAAAACCTCATTTAGTCTGTCTTTATGTAGAACAATTTTAAATGTAAAATTTATATTTTTTATTCACAGTGCGTCAGCAGCGCGGAATTAATAACAACAGTGAACACTAGGTTAAAACCAAAAGACGATGGCCATGGCCACGGACACGACCATGGTCACGGCCACGACCATGATGCGACAGACCATGAGGAAGAGCTCTTGTTATCAGAAGACACCTTACAAGCTATATGCCCAATACTCCTATATCAAAAATTGGCTAATACTTCTATAGAACAGTACGGCTGCGTTAAAGAATCAAACTTACCAAGCAGACGAATACCGTCCATATCAAATGAAAAAGAGAGCGCCTATAATAAAAATATGCTAGCAGTTTGGTTATACTCGGGTTTAAGTATAGCTGTAATAAGCGCCTGTGGTCTATTAGGAGTAGCAGTTATACCTATTATGCATAAGACTTATTATAATCACCTTCTACAGTTTTTGGTTGCATTAGCTGTTGGCACACTATGCGGTGACGCTTTGTTACATTTAATGCCTCACGCTATGAGTCCTTTAGAAGATAACCATGATCATGGTCATGGAACAGCTGTAGAACTGAGAGCGTCTCACGATGATGGTATGTGGAAGGGACTGGCAGCTATGCTTGGGGTAGTTTTCTTTTATTTTACTGAAAAGGGTCTTACTGTCATTGTCGAATGGAGGAAGAGGCGTCAAAAGCTTGAAGATGATAAATTGCCTTCAAGGGTCCGCGTGCTCAAGGACGAAACTGCTGGCGGATGTTCGGGAGGCTCAAAAGCACCTATTACGAATTCCACGTCAAATTCCTTTATGAAAATATTTAAGAGAGAAGACAAAGGCGATCCAACTACAAAGACTTGCAAGCACAAGTATTCGGAATATCCATATTGCTATGACGAAATCGACACCGATACCCATGACGATCACCATTTAAGGGACGGTCAAATCCCACCTAGTCCGAAAGCGAAACATAATAACTCTGTCAGCGTTGTGTCATCGAATGCACTCAATCCTGATGCGAAAGAGAATGAACCAACGGCGAAAGACTGGCTCTTGAAACCCGAGACGACACCGGCTGTAGTCGAAATGAACAATATTAAACACAAAGAAGACGGAGGGAAGGACTTGAAGGACGGTGACAGCTACACAGTCATACTCAGGTGAATACTTTGTTTATATACGAATACCCAGGGTTCATCATCACTAGTCCTTTATTTTGTCCCCACTGCAGGGGCACAGGTCTTCCTTGTGGATGGTTAAGGAGCATGGGCCATAACCCTCCACGTTTGCCCAATGTGGATTGGCGGGTATTAACGACTGCAAATGCAGCCGGGACCAACGGCTTAACGTGCCTACCGAAGCACTGTAGATATTATTTTAGTAGCTGGAGATAATAATTTTTTGGTCACCTATTCCGTGACAGACCTTTGCGAAAGTTGCTTATCGACTATGACCGTGTGCCGCGGCGCTTATCCACTACGCCACACCTACCCAGGATTATTAATAATAAATTCGGCAATATGCATAAAAAACTTATTAATGTGGCGTTACGCGTCTAGTATCTTGTTCTGCTATTTGAACATACACTTATTATGTGCAAAAAATTATAATAAATTACTGTTATCTTGGTCCATGATTTTGGCGCCCAAAAATATAACTGTTTTTTTTTGTGATTTCAAAGAAAGTTTCTTTCGTAAATAATCCATTTTGTTGACATAGTACAATTTTGTACTGGTTTATGATTTATTAAAATATATTTATGCTGTACGTATAGAGAGCATTCTCGTGCTCACCATGGTCATTCGCACGCACACGGACACGTCCATGCGCCTCCTTCCTCCATGTCGTCTGTGGCCTGGATGGTTATTATGGGAGATGGACTGCATAATTTCACCGATGGGATGGCCATAGGTAAGCTATTTTAACATCTTAAAGAACCACAAGTCCTAGATGGAATTTTAGCATTTCAAACCATATTTCTCTACTTAATTTTCATATTTTAATAAGTTATGATTTTATTTTATATAAATATATGGATATTCTAGATTTCAAATTAACATTTTCTCAATATATATACGTATCCTTCGTCACTGTTTCAGGTGCTGCTTTCGCTTCGAACTTGGCTGGTGGTTTTTCTACTGCCATTGCTGTGTTATGTCATGAACTGCCACATGAATTAGGTAAATTATTGATTTTCGTCGACTTCATTGCTCATCACAACTGATCATGATTAAATCGGTTATTTTGCTATATTACTATTGCAATCTTATAAAGTTAACACTTTTCACTTAACCATTTTTTTGTAACTTAATTTTTATTTTAATAATCATTTAACCAATAATGATACACGATTATACACGGTTCTAGCAACGTTGTACAGTCAATTGCACGTGATAACATACATCACTGTCAAATTTCAAAATTGAGGGTAGTTCAAAACTGACGTGACGTGTTGCGGTTGGTGTTGATGTGTATGTTGATCAGATGTGTCACGAAATCCAATTACATCATCGAAGTAAATGTTTGAACAGGTGATTTTGCGGTGCTCCTCAAAGCGGGTATGTCGGTGAAGCGTGCTATTTGCTACAACGTGTTGTCTTCGGCGTTGTGTTTGGCGGGTATGGTGTGCGGGGTGCTTGCGGGCCACGCGCCCTCCGCTACGAGGTGGTTGTTCGCCGCCGCCGCTGGAATGTTCCTGTACATCGCCCTCGTGGATATGGTGAGTTACAGAATTATCACTCATACGGATTAAAATGACATCCGGATGCCTATTCTGTTTCTCCGGAAACGAAATTTCATCTATTTTCGAAATGCTAATACTATTAATAAAAAAAAGTTTAGATAACGGAAGTATTTGACACTGACTATTACACAGATAATCTTCACGTACCTATATGATTTTAACATTCTGACATAACATTCAGACTGCTGGTATTCTGCGGATACCCGCAGAATACCAACAGAATGTTAGACTGAGCAGAGACTTTAGAAAACTTGTTCTCATTTTTTTGTATTAGATTCATTGTCAAAGCAAATGGTAAATTTGGTAGGGTAGTTGTCACTTAAAGCAGTATTTTGTAATAGATATTATAAAAAAGGAATATGGATAGTAGACGACTGCTGGTATTCTGCGGATACCCGCAGAACAGCATGTTAGACTGAGCAGAGACTTTAGAAAACTTGTTCTCATTTTTTTGTATTATGTATACACCAAATGAATAATTCATTCATCATTAATTCATGCTTTTCAGATGCCTGAGCTCAGTACGTCACACAGCAAGGAAGGAACTCTTTGCCAGTGCATCCTACAACTTATGGGCCTCGCTTCTGGCATTGGTATCATGCTGGTTATTGCCCTCTATGAGCACGACCTCAAGAACTTATTTGGATAAACCCAGTGTGAAGTGATGTGAAAATTGGTGCCAACATACTAAAAGTTACAAAACGAGTGAACGAATAGGTTTATTAAAATAACCAGTGATAAAAGAGTTTTAGAGTTAAACTAATTTGTAAGTGAACCAAGTGTACGTACCTAAAGTGAACTTTGTATGATAAATTACAAATTTGTATCATTCCTGAGGTCAATTGATCTTGTGTGGATTGACTTTGTGCGAATGTGAGTAAAGGTTTTCCTTTTTTTTGTTTAATATATGAAATTACCACAAAGTACTTATGCCTCAATATCTACTTAAGTTTTTATTATGACAAACTTAATTGTACCTTATGCATCTAACATAAACCTGATATTCCATAGCATTGTATTTAATGTTTCAATATGCTACTTTAAGTATAAATTACTGGATGTCTCACAATACTACATGCATGAGCATTATTATTACAGTTTTAAAACCATATCATTGTAAATTAACATATAAATGGTAGGTTATTGGAATGAGACTGTATGACCAAATCTGTAATAAGTTAACTATTGTAAGTTGTCATAAAGTCCAATTTGGAAAGATGGAAAAAATATATTGAGGTCTCATTGCTTACATATAACTGCTCACTAGTATTTATGTTATGAACTAATCAGTTCTTGTTTATTAATATTAATAACCAATACCTTTGAAATCTAATGTTAACAGTGTTTGAAAATGAAATGTCTTTGATAATTGATTTAAGTTGTGAATTTGAATACTGTCAATTCAACTTTTAGTTATATGTAGCAGAAAATAATTGTATTTAATGAATTTATGAATTAATGCCTGTTCTTTAGTATATATCATCCAATGGTAATATTTTAATTTAGATGCAATGAAATAAATATACACATTTTTCGAAATTTTACTATTGTCGTTAGATACAATAATATAACAAATTAAGTGTATGTATCCGAGATTCTTAATACATATGTATACCATTTGTATGTTTTAAAAATTACATAATAAATAATTATAACACAACTTCATGAACTAATAATTTTCGCATTAGAAGTTTTCTACTTTTATACATTTTCTCATTACAAAATTCAAATTTAGGGGAATCCCGTAATACTTTAATTATTGAAAGTATGGAGCTAAACTTATCGGATTAAAAAGGTCAACGAGGCAGCATTACTATTGCCGTTGGAAACTGATGTTCATCATTATCTTAATGTATATGAAATTAGAGAAACACACCAACACTCATATTTTTAATATGCAAAGAAAGGAAGAAGCTTAATTCTCTTACAAACAACTGTTAAATATGGGCCTTATTTTGTTGGAATGAAAGACTACTCTTGTATACTAACTAGACAAGCTGTTCAGTACAAAAAATAGTTCACTAATCATCTGCAAAATTTGCACCGAAAAACTGCGTGAGAATAGACTTGTGTCCTACAAGTGAAATTACAGCACTCTGTTATATGTTTGGTAAATACATATAAACAATTTTAACTTATAAATATTTAACAAAATAAATACTAATTTGGAAAAAAATACACTTTGAAAACTTGAAATAAGTAGGGAATATTGCTAAAATACATGCGGCATTCAAATAACATTAATTATAACAGTTATACATATGAACGCACAATTAACATCGATATTACAACTTATAAAAAATTTTTAACTCAATTTTTCCTCAAACTTTTTTTACACAAAATTTCGACTGGCAATACTGCTGCACTGTGACACAATTTTAATTCTTAACGGCTTGTCTAGAAGTATATATAGAAGTCTTTGATTTGATAGAATAGATTTTTAACTATGAAGAGATGCGGCAATAATGTATTTAATTCGAACTGACCTAGGCATTAGATAGATTTTTGTGAAATTATCAAGCAAATGAAGTACAGAAATATAACGAAAAACTTATTGAATGAATTATTTATTGGTTGTATTTTTTCTCAAACACACATTGTGCATGGTCGTTATAGAGAATTTGTTTAAATTTTATCTTATTTCAATGAGATGATTATTTGAAATTAGTAAATTGTACATGTTAGGCGACGACCAAGGGCGGATCCATGGTTATGGGTACGATGGGAACTCCCACAAACCTAAAAGAGTTGTAACGTCACATTTTCATGGTTTACTGTCAGTTGGCCACATGGAATATAAAACAATACTATTAAATCTTGATCACAGGCGTGATATATTTTGGTAAACATCTCCTTTGCAGAAATACACTATTCTGGGCAGTAATTCAGTCCTTATTCGCACCAGTAATGCCACGACCTTTTTTGAGTTCTGGATCCGCCCCTGGTTACAACTCTTATAGCTAATATGATTTACAGTATTACTTAGTAGTACATACTTTATTATAAGATCTTAATTCATTCATTTAGCTTTAAAACTATGTATGAAATTGAAAAATATTGCCAGAGGTAAAGAAACTTATGCTTGCTTAAATGAAGAGACAATATAGAATATTAAACACTTTGAAGACGACACTGTAAATATCAAGATTACTTTGAATTACTAAACTTTAAAAATCTTATTGAGTATCTCAATATCTATGCTTTGAAAATGGTGCTTTGTTCCTATGAGAAGTTGTCACTCTTTTGAGACTCTTTTTTTTTATTTACAATAAAAAGGAATCTAATTTTATCGATAGAACATGGCAATAATAAAAATGGCGTTGATACTTTAAAACTTAGCCATCTTAACAAAGAGGTAATGTAATGTTATTAATAATTACGTTGACGGAGACCGTAGTACTTATGTTTTGTAAATTTTAGTACTTACTACATCGACACACGGCTCAGATTAATTTTAAGTAAATTAAAACTCTTGTTATTTTTATTTGGGAATATTTCGCAGTAGATGGCGCCATCTATGTGTCAAGAAGTTATGGCTGTTCTTTAAAAAATAAAGATTTTTTAATCTTTAAGCAAAAACTATGAAGTTTATTGTCGGTGCAAACCTGGAGGAAGATACGCCAAGCATCTCACAAGTATGCGTTATAACGCGACGGATCATACGTCGCGTGTATATAGGTTGAATGTCATATTATCATATATGTGTTAGTTCTGACGTTCCACACCGATGAGATGAGGATAACATATCGCACACCTAGATCTAAACTAAGACAACTCAAAATCTAATGTGGAGGTCGGACAATACATTTGTTTACGTGGCAGGAACGCGACCACTGTTGATTCCGCAAAAGAAAGCTAAAGTTATCTAGAGGCTCATCCCCGAACCTTTATTGAATCTGTTATGTCAGATAGATGCATATGATCACCGAGAATTTGAATATTGTACAAAGTCAAAACTCACTCAATTTTTTGAGTTGTCTCAGTTTAGATCTAGATGTGCGATATCTTCCGTCAGATATGCCCCAAGACAGAGATCGATTTGTTTATTATACCAAAACTTAAGTGCATTACATTATTATTATTATCATAATGTAATGCACTTATCGTGATTATGGCTTTATGAAATTTAGTTGGACTTGTGGCGCCACCTAGTGATGTCCTACAGTAAAATTCCCTGTTATCGCATTTGAAAATAAGCATTATAATTCGCTTCACGAAAGAAACTTCTTAACTTAACTCTTATGTGTATTGTTATAAGAGTGAAAACCTTTTTCGAATAATTTCTTTTGTGGCGTGGATTTTAAAAACTATAATTAAGTTTGCGAATAATAGATATTAGTTTATACTGAAATAAGTTATTTTCTAAGTGATTGGAGTTTTTTTCTGTGTTCTGCAATCATGTTAAATGGTGTTAGACGTGATTGACGGTTAGATCAATAATATTGATTATAATTATTAGACAAAGACACGGTTGTATCCTTCAAAATCTATAGACACATTACTTAGACCAGTATCTCAAAACCAAAGATGCTAACATACCTATTCAAGTTGAATATAGCAATTTATATGACACACATGAAAAAATTAAGAGAATAATTGACATTTACTTCAGTTTACGAGTTGTACATAGCGTATGTACAGTCAGTACAGCAAGAACTTTAATGTATAGTTTGTCAAGTTCGTAATTGGTTGTGGAAATATGAAGTTTCGCGGTAACATAACATAATAACATGTTTTTAATTCAAATTCATTTTATTGTGTGGACAAAGCTTGAGATATGGTTTTTTGCTTTAAGTAGAATTCTCTATTATGAAGTTAAAATGTGCTATAGCAAAGTATCTTATAGAAAAGTAATGAGCTGGAATGTCTCGGATGAGGAATGTTTGCAATTGAAGCAAACACCTCATAAGGCTGTTATGTCTTTGTGGGTTTAGTTGTTAAACTTGTCTTGTGATTATTGCTATATTGATCGATCCGTCAATATGTGAGATTGTTATTTAAATGGAATGTTTCCGCTTGCAAGCGGAGTGTGATGTAAAGGACCTACGATGGAAATAATTATATTGTAATATATGAATTATTCATAATTGTCTGTAGTTTTATTTAAAAACAAAATATTAGTTTATGTCCTGGCTGGTTGCGCAATTTATTCCTTGTAACCCAACGTGATTATTTATCACAAGGTTACCAGGAAATGGAATAAAGATAGATATTAAAAATACATTGTTTTATGAATCCATGCAAAATTTACTGTTATAATTTAGAAGATAGGCTTGTGACGCTGCCGAACTGACGTCAGCCCAGCAGTACCGCATATTATTTCTTAAATACGTTTAAAATAAATAATAATTATCGTCCCATCACACTCTTATCTATAATAGATAAGATAGTCGAGAAATATATATGTAATCAAATACACAAATTTTATAGAGAAAACAATATTATATATATGAAAATCAATTTGGTTTCCAACAAGGAAAAGTGGCAAATGATATACTATCAAAGTTCACCGAACAAGTAAATAAATGTTTAAATAATAGGGAACACGTATTAGCACTTTTTATCGATTTTTCACGAGCATTTGATACACTCGATCACAAGTTATTACTGAAGAAACTCGATACTTGTGGCGTACGTGGACCTTTGTTGGAATGGTTCAAAGACTATCTGACTAACCGTACATTCGAGGTTAAAATCACCAACTCCAAAAGTAACACGTTTAAAGTAACAGAAGGCACAGCACAAGGATCGGTTGCGGGTCCATTGCATTTCCTGTCGTATGTTAATGACATGAGAATTGTATTGTGCACAGCACCTGTTACCAATTTGCTGATGATACATGTTTGTTGGTAGCTCATAAGGATTTTGCAAAGGCGTATAACGTTCTTCAGTCAGATTTTATAATTTTATGCAAATGGTGCCACGACGCAGGTCTTGAATTAAACTCAAATAAAACAAAATTAGTACACATTAAGTCCCCATACCTAAAATCATATGCAGTGAATAAAAATATAATAGCCCATGATCATGACTGCTTACACAGGTATGTGAAACCGTGTTGTTGTCCGATTATAGAACTTGTTGAATCACATAAATATCTAGGAGTCATTATAGATAATAAATTCAATTGGAAACCTCATATTGAGCAAGTATGCATTAAACTAAGACAATTTTTGGCAAATTTGACTATCTTAAACAGGCGTATAATGTTATATAACTCCTTAGCTGACAACTATATACAATATAGACTAAGTAGCTATGGACGCACATATGAATCTTTCTTGGTCAAAATATATAAACTTCAATTAAAAATGTTAAAATTAATAGTTCCAAAAAAATACAAATCATTATATATAGATAACGAAATTGAAATTTTTAAACATTGTCGAATATTACCAATTGTTGAAAAGATCAAGTATACTTTATTAAAAGAAAATTATTTTAAATCTTACTTTTATGACAAAATCGAACACACTGTATTCACACGTGCAATAGCACAAAACCGGCTACGCACAAGCAGAGCTACGAACGTGTACGGTGAGAGGACTATTTATTCTACCTCGTTTGATAAATAAACTACCGAGCGATCTCAGAGATAAACTTGTAGAAAAAAATATTAAATACGAATAAAAAAATATTTTCTTTCTTAGAATAGTACCATAATCAAGCGTTTGCTGAGTTGTCAAAAAATGTAATAAATTTGAATCTACTTAATTTGTAAATGTGATTAAAGTAATTAATATAATTGTAATTAATATATTAAAACAAATATTAATCTGTGTTATTTATTGTCATATAGTTATTTAAGTTTTTGTAATCTAATTTATATAAATTCTTGCATGTGTTACGAACCTTAGTGGTTTACATGATGCAAGTAAACCAACTCATGCTAACCATAAAGTTTGTTGATAATTAAATAAAAAAGAAACCGTTTATCACTACTATATCCCAAATTAAGAGTCTCGAATAATACCAAAATAAGAAAAGTGAGAACAATGATTTTCTTTTTTATATGTTAGTACATAGATACACACTATGTACATATAAAAAAGAAAAATTCTTAGGTTTCATGAAAACAACAAGTACAATTAAAAAAAGTATATTTTTACATTCATAAAACGGTACATAAGTCTCTTATAATTATCAACTTCGATATAATAGTACATTTTCTGATATCACTTTGACACTAATGACGTCACTCATGGACCAGGTACCGAAATAGGTCGAACAATTTTTTGAACTTGAACTTAAGAATGAGATCACGTATTCTTTGTTTATGTAAGCTTACTAGCTTTCCGCCAGCGGCTTCGCCCGCGTTCATAGTTCCCTAGGGACCTATGGAACTATTAAGTGGGATAAAAAGTATCCTATTATCTAAGTCAGCTATTATCCTATCTGTATACCAAATTTCATCAAAATCCGTTCAGTAGTTTCGGTGTGATTGTCGGACAAATATCCAAACAACCTTTCGAATCCTCCACAAATTTTTATATGTCTGCGCGATTATGATGTATATAGTCAAACGTTGTTTTATTGCACTGCTAGTGAAGTCATTATGTGTCACGAGATATTATGAATGATATTTGGAGCGTCATTAATGATATCATTAAGGTGTCACTCTCTTAGGGTCGCGCGGGAACATGGAAGTCTTACGAATGTTGTCCAAACCCAAATATAACATTACAACACGCTCCATTCCAATGCCACCGCCTGAGGAAGATAATATTCATTTAAATAATCTTAAAAATAAAAATCCAATAAGTTTGATTATTGAATTAATAATTATAAAATGTAATCAATATCAAATTCACAATGCAATGTTTATGTATATCTTACTATACTCCTCCGCCTCTATATTTATTAATATTGAAATTATTAATTCAATTAGAGAAAAAATCTTGAAAACAGTCAGTCAGGAATTCGAATTACGAACACTATTGAGAATGTAATTGCTGTTTACCAATAACTGCTTAGCCGAAATCAACGTAACTTAAGAGCCAATGATTGCGATGCAACTTCAAAAGTAATACTGAGAAATCGGTTATAACCTATTATAAAAAAAAAAAAACATTTTTTAAATATTTTTATTTTATTATATGGAATATATAAAAATAATATTTAAAAAAGCATCATTTGTTTAATAAGTTTAAATCTAAAAATAAATTTAGCTTTCAATATTTCCCGATTAAACGACAACTTCTGTCATGGCGTCGCTGAAACTAATATCGTTCTGTATGCATCCTATTATTAATATTATAAAGGCGAAAGTTTGTAAGTATGGATGTATGGATGTTTGTTACTCTTTCACGAAAAAACTACTGGACGGATTTGGATAAAACTTTACAGCAATATAGGTTATACATCAGAATAACACATAGGGTACTTTTTACTGGGAAAACTTCTCACTCCCACGGGATACCGACTTCCACGCGGACGAAGTCGCGGGCGTCCACTAGTAAGGTTATATTTTCCAAGTTCTGATATGAGTAAAGATTATTATAGAGTTGATGATTATTTTAAGGATTCGCTTTGTTCTATAAAGACTAATTATATGTTCAACCTATGACCTACAGACTTTGAAAGTTGTATTTATTATTGTGATAATACATATTATTTTGGTAATGACATGATTTATGTAAATGTCATTACTTATGATAAAGAGCTGGTAAGTTTCTTTCGCTTGTTCTTCTTGTCAGCTAAAGGACGTCCTGAACAAGTGGTAGAGGAAGAAAAATTTTTTGGACGATTAAAGAGTGCTTGTAATAGGCCTACTTGAATAAAGATATTTCATTTCGTTTTATTTCAGTGAGAGGGGCACGACGTCACACGCTGTATGCGGGCACGTGACGAGTGTGAAATATTCGTTTTTTTTTTTCATAATTTAAGCAATATTATAAATATAATGAACATAAAAGTGTGATTATCAGCAATAGTATATTAAACAATACCACAAAAAAAGTATTTATTTTCATGTACAGACAGTACACCCGTAATAATTTCAATTCATCACTTACCCGCGTGAGGGGGACAGCCGAGCCTGAAAGATTCGATGTACGCAGCTATTTTGCTGATATCTGCAACCGAAAGAATGCCAACTTAATAATAGTTTCAACAAAATATTTTTTCTCGTTTTTTAAAACTAAAAATACATTATACAAAAACGTATTTTGTGTCAATTAAAGTTACATTTGATATATATTCACCATCATTTTTTTTTTGACACTGAGAAATGCATTCCGCATGTTCGCTCCCCCCATGCGCTGGGGTTCACGGGGTCTGTGGGACTCTTCCTGTGGTCCCACCCCCAGAATGGGGGCTGGACAAGAAACAGGAGTTTACCCACTAAAACTCAGCGATGTCCCTCTCATGGTAGGCGAGGCGCGGGATCGGCCCGGAGGCCATACACATATTCACCATCATCACCAACTGAGCTACAGGCCTTTCATATCGATGGAAACCAATAAGGAAATTGGTGGGGTAATTTTCAAATTTACGAAACTATCGCAATTCCTTTCAAAGGTTTTGATTGAAATTCTATAACTTTTAAAGTTACAATCGCTTTTGGAACTAATTATGATTTGAATCATCTCCAAAGTTAAAAAAAATTCGTTTACTATCTACACCCGTATTTGTATACTGATTATAAATATTTCCCGTATACATATCGCGAGTAGCTCGGTGGCGTAATGGATAAGCGCCGCGGCCCGCGATCGTTGTCGTTAAGCAACTTTCGCAAGGGTCGGTCACGGATGGGTGAACAAAAAAAAAATTATCTCGAGCTACTCCGAGCTTCGGAAGGCACGTTAAGCCGTTGGTCCCGGCTGCATTTGCAGTCGTTAATACCCTTCAATCCGCATTGGGCCAGCGTGGAGGGTTATGGCCCATCCTCCTTAACCATCCATAAGGAAGGCCTGAGCCCCTTCAGTGGGGTCGTAAAAGGGCTGGTGATGATGATGATGATACATATCTTACCTATGCCGTGATGCTTCGCCCTCTCGGTGAGGAATTCAGGGTCGTGTATCCTCTGAGCCCCGCTCAATATCTCTTCACCTCTCATGAACATATCGTAAGAGTTAGACACTTTCTGAAACAAAAACAACCAATTTTCCTTATCGAAAAAAATTTGCAAATTCAACTGTGCAACTTTTTTAACGATGACCATCGAAAATTACAGCTACTATACGAATACTGTACCGATAAACCAGCCTTACTTACTAAGCTTAAAGTTAAATTTTAAATATTACTGTAAAAATATTGCAAATGCTACTTAAATATTTTGCTGAAGCACGGGCTCCAAAAGAGAAAAAACATATTGCGCGGAATATTATTTATTTATCAGAAAATATTAGGAACATCGTATTTAAAAAAAAAATCTTTTCATGAAACCCTTTCATTTGATATTTATTTGACCGCTTAAAGATAATTAAGACCGCCATCTTGGATTAATAAAATTTTGTAACTAAGTTATCTAAATCATACCTTTATGCAAAATTGTCTGAGGATAACTATTACCTGATATGAGGATAGCTTTAAAATACTTTTGTAAGATCTGACGAGCTTAAATACACAGAACAAAATATTTGTAATTGATAATTTGTCCACTCAGAAATATTATTTAGTTTCCTCATTTTTAATTATAATAATTAATTATAGGATTTTGTCCACAATTCATTTGCTTGTTTAATACGCAAAGTGAAAATCAAAATAATCAAAATAAAAGTGCAAGTGCATTTTAAGTGTTGAATTATTGAAGTGTAAATGAAACGTAAGTGAAGTGTAAATGAAGTTAAAATTAAGTATAAATGAAGTAAATCTGAAATGTGTATTGATGTCATTATCTCACCGGATTGTTAGGATCAGGCATGGTGTAGAACGGTCTTACGGCGAGCGGATACTTGTCCAGTATATAGAAATCTGTGTCGTATTTGGCTTTCACCAATCTACCGAGGAGTTTCTCGTCTGGAGTCGACAAGTCGTCTTCTTCCCCAACTGTCACACCTGTATGTAATTGAAGAAACTATGTGTTTATTATATCACGAAGTGATAAGAAAATATTTCATAATTCATTTAGCTGACTTACAAAGGAATATTATTACTATCATTGACTTAGGTAACGATTGAATTAATACCACCCTTTATATATAAGTATAGCCATTTTTTTATTTTATGGGTCATTTACTTTGGGTATAGACTCAATTTAAAATTATAAAAGTTGAAATGAGGTAAATTTTCGAACCTTAAAAACACTCTCAAATGCTTTTAATGTCGTCACGCTTACATTGCATTAAATAAATCATATCACGAGACTTCACATTTGCATACATTGTAAATTTAACAAAGAAATGTAAACACTTGTTAGTTTCTTTTTAATCTCTCGAGTATGGCAACACTACCGGTCCTCGGTGACGAAATCAAGTTGACATCGATCGAAGTTCCGGTAGACAACCATGTAGATAGCCTATTAGAAGTAGACGTTCATAAACTAAAACTATGTCCATTTTACGTTTCAAAATCTTTTCAGGATTCCATTCTATAAGACTTCCGTAGCGAGCGATTCGCACGCCAGTTTTATGGTGTCGCTATCTCTGAGGGTTCGATTCCTGGTCGGATCGATGTAGAAAATACTCTTTTCTATGTTGTCTCGGGTTTGAGTGATGTGGTACTTTCGTAGTCAGACACTCCAAAATACAGGGGCTTTAGGTTGAAATTTGAGTAATGTATGTACTGCTTTAATATATTTTATCAATTTTGCGTTCACATTGCTATACTGAAAAATATTTTTAATGAAAAATCTCAAGAGTGCCAGAGACAAAGTGGATTTTTTTAAAGAATTTTTCGTTGAGACTATGTAATGCTATCTAATATTTATTTATGTACTCACCGGCTTCCTTTAACATTTGTATAGCTTGAGGGAACTCAAGTCTTAGCGGCGGATCGAGAAACTTGAATGGCTCCACGCGATACTGTTGACCGACGCTGGCAATTTCTGAAGCAAACCTAAAAACAATATAAAAAAATCATATACGCATTTCTATTAGCTTTCTACGTAACTAAGTTTCATAATAAAAACTACTTTTGAAATGAAAAATGAAAATGAAAATGAATGAAAATGAAAAATGTTTATTTCGTTAAGCATGAGTTTTAACAATAGTCAGAGGGTGACATGCCCCTATTAAATGTAAAATACATTTGTGCCAGGAGCAGCCACACTCCCATAACATGTATAGGTTTATTATATTTGTACGTATAAAATTTAAACATTTGTGGGCTACAAGAATTGAATACTAATCATTTATTTCAACAGACTAAGTTCTGTAACAGATCTTGATTAAACTTAAACAAGAATGGTAGGTACAACTTTTAAAATTTACATAGGAACTTCTAACTTAACATCAGGAATTTAGAATTTAACGTTAGTAACTTGAATAAAGAATTTAACATTTAGGAACATTCAATTTAACATAAGGAACTTTCCTTGAGCAAAATAAAGCTAAATATAAATACAAATCTATCTATCAGGTTTAACAATAATGTCTTCAGTGTCATCATAATTTAACGTTTTAAGCCAACTAGTTACAATTCTTTTACATTCATATGTAGTCCTCATGTGGATATTCAGATATTTATTAACAATGATGTACAGATGTGTGGCTTGATTAGTAAGTTGGTGCTTAGCAAAATAGGTTTTACATATTACTGATTTTGCTACATTTCCAAACCTTCTTTTATGCATAATAGTGGTATCAACTGGTAGTTTCCTATGTTTATATAAAATAGTGTGTAAAATGAATAGTTGACGAACAGTAAGTACATCAGCCAAAGCGTAAAGAGCCTGAGTTGAGAACAAACGTCTTTTAAAATACATAATTTTGAGTAGTAACCTTTGTGCCCGTTCAACCTCAAGAAATTTAACCTTGGATGCACCACCCCAAACTGGTATACAGTAAATTATTATAGATTGCGCAAGGGCAATATAAACCTTGTTCAGGAGATCTGCGTTAGCAGAATATCTAAGTTTATTAAAAATCCATAACATATTCCTGACTCTGCCAGTGATTAGTTCCAAATGATGGTGCCATGCGAGATGCTGATCAATCATGATACCCAGATATTTACAGCAAGTAAGTTTATTTAATGCAGGACAGTCACAATTACTATTGAAGTCAGGATAGTCACAGCTATGAATCTTTAGACTATAGTTAAGTGGTTGGGTTCTTCGATTAATGGTATAGCAGATAAAGTTAGTTTTAGTTGTGTTTAGGGTCAACAGATTATGTCTTAGCCAAAGGGCAGTAGTAGCAAGAGCCGATTCAGCATCCCTTCTTACAACATCCCAGGAACTACCCGTGATAACCATAGCAGTATCATCAGCATAGGAGAAGATCTTTGTGCCCCCAAGCTTCATCTCACAGAGGTCATTAATGTAAATAAGGAATAAGGTAGGACCTAAGACTGAGCCCTGTGGTACACCACAGGGCAATGCTGACTCATCACTAATGAACTGACCTATCTTCACCCGTTGTCGCCTGTCATCAAGATAGTCCCTGAATAAGCTCAGTGGAGTACCTCTGATGCCAGCATATTCCAACTTCTGCATAAGAATGGGAACAGAGACGGTGTCAAACGCCTTTTTGATATCAAGAAATATCGCAAGACATTTGCCTCCACTGTCCAACTGGTTAACAATCAAAGATGTAAGAGCCATTACCGCATCCTGAGTTGATTTACTGGACTGAAAACCATATTGCGAATTTGATATAATACTGTACTTATTAAGATAGTCAACAAGTCTCCTATTAATTAATTTTTCCAAAATTTTGGACAATGAAGGCAGTACAGAGATAGGCCTGTAGTTGTTTGCATCGGCTCTGCTCCCACTCTTATGAACTGGTGTGACAACCGCAAGTTTTAACAGCTTAGGGAATCTACCATGCCTAAAGCAGATATTTGCCATGTGGGAGATAAGAGGAACTAAAATGGTGCTGGCAAGTTTCAGAAAACTAACAGGAATCTGGTCCCATCCTGCGGCACTTTCAGATTTAAGACTCATGAGAACTGCGTGCACTTCTTGCGGGTCAGTGTCCATTAGAACAAAAGATGTAAGTTGTTGTTCGTACGAAAAACGGGATAAAGATAAAGCTTGTGCGCTACTCAATGGATTAATATCACTAGACAGTTCCCTACCTACACCTGCAAAGAACCTGTTAACATGATCAACTGACTCATCCGGAGTTGACTTAACATTCAAAAGTTTACTACTGTCATTGTTGTCTTTATTGGTGTGAGTGATGCTCCTAATATTTCGCCAAAGACATTTAGAATTATTTATTGATTTTTCTAAAAGCTGTTTTTCATAATTATATTTTAATTTTCTAATTAACTTGTTACAAAAATTACGATACCGCCTATAGGTGACTGCAAGAACACTATCATTGGGATTAGATCGGAGCTTCTTCTGCATAGTATTCCTATTTCTAATGCAGCGCAATATACCAGGTGTCATCCAAGGCTTGCTGATTCGTTGACTTTTTGGTATAACTTTTAAAGTGGTATTTTCTTTTAACGCCTGTGTAATTTTTGTGATCAAAGTTTCAGCTATAATATCAGGGTCATCAAGATGCAGAATTTCTAATAGTTTCATGTTGTTCAAACTAAACAAAGCTCCGTCATAGTCAGTGACAGATGCAATTTTACGAGCATTAGATTTTACATTTAAGTTTTTAAGATGTAAAAAGGTCATACAGTGATCAGTAATAGAAGTGTTCAATATGGTAACCCTAGCAAGTGACCTGTTTCTGACCAACTTAAGCATAATGTGATCCAGACAACTACTGTTTCTAGTGGGGAGGCAGTGACCCTGCAAAATACCATGGGAACTTAACATACTAAGATAGTCAAGCCTATTTTTCCTCGTGTAGCTCGTTTCACCTGGATCATGTATGAGGTTGATGTTAATGTCACCCGCCAGTAAAATGCATTTATGGTTTTTAATTAAATTAAGATGATCATTTAAGGAACAGATGAATTTATCAGCACTAACATATGATGGTGATCTGTATATCGCTAGTATTATAAAATTAGGACATTCAATTTGCAGACATGAAGCGTCTTCCAAAAAAGCTTCTACTACATTAACTGTGATGTTGTCTTTAACATAGGCAATCACCCCGTCATTCTGGTTAAGGTAGCGGGTACTGGGATGTGTAGTATAATTTGGCAGGCCAGGAATAGGTTTATTCACGTTATTCCAGCACTCAGTCAAAATAACAAAATCGGGATTAAATTTCAGTTGGGTTAGTGAAAGTAATAAATTATCATAATTACGGTAAATGCTTCTGATGTTTTGTGCTATTAGAGTAAGGTCATTATTATCAATTTTTATAATTTTTTGTAAATTCTCAATATCACAGACCGATACATCGGCAACACTAGACTCATCTAGGTCATTTAGTATATTTAGAGTGTCAGACATTAAAAACTCATTAAGAAAAGACTGGACAAACTGTTAATGATATTTAGTTGATATATGAGATATTGGATATGACCATGTGATGAGTTAATAAGACAGATACACACTTTAGTAAACAAAATCAAAATGTTCTCAGTTAAGACAGTTAAATACTGTTTACTTAGTAGGTCTTTGGCTGTTGTCACCAATATTAATATTGTGAACATATTAATATAGTAAAAAAGGCACTTTACACTATACCTATACACTACAAAGAGATGCTTGAGTGAACAAGTATTATGAGTAGTCATGTTTATAGCTTTATAAAATAAAACTAAGAATTCCACACAAAGACAAAAGAAACTCAATTCAAGTTGTATTACCACATAACAACAATTTAGAAACATTTGTTTATTTAGAAAAATGTAAATTAACTTAGGATGTTTATAGAGACATGGTTTAAATGTAACAATTTTTAAATAAGGAATTGTTATAATTAAAGTACATATAGTGTAAGTGACGATAATTCTATGCATAAGGTAATTTGAATGCACAGGTGATGCATGATATGTTGGATAGATACCTATCTTTGTAAATAAGATCAGTATATACAAATAATTTAAGATGATTAAATTCTGTTTACTAATTAGAACATTAATTATTGTTACTAATGTTACCACTATAATACAGTAACAAAGGTGGACATCACCATATATTACACAAAAATTCCTAGGTAAAGTGAAATATTGATTTTTCATGTTTAGAATATTACAAAATAATAATACTAACTCAACATAAAGACAAAAGATAAGTGTTTTTAAATTCTTTAACACATTATAACAAAGGAGAAGTAATAGTATATTTAATAAATTGTAACTTGACATTAGCAGAGAGTTATTACAGTATGGTTTCCATGTACCATCTCTTAAGTAAAATATTTTGATAAAATAAGTTGGAGCCAGCATGTAGGCATGATAATTATTATTGGTAAGTTTATATTTGTAAGAAGTTATTCCTGAGTAACATTCAACTAACAAACCATGATATAAAAACACATCAACTTTATCAATAAAAAATGTAACACAGCAACAAGCTAATGGCATTTCTATACAAGTGCAAAGATACTGTGTGAACATTTTATAAAAGAGGTAAGTAATTGAGTAGTTATAAAGCAACATAATCATATACCTGAGACTCCGCAGGGCACAACACAACAATTCAAAACACTGAAAAAAACACCGTCATTCATCAATCACTAGCTGATGCACCTGAGCCTCCGATGTGATAGTTATAATCGGGGTATTTTCAGCTCTTCGTACGTAAACCCGACCATAAGCGGTCCAGCAGAACTTATATTTTCCAGCCTTGACAAGGTCTCTTGCCAAGAAATGCAGACGAGCTCCCTTGGCTGTGAGCTGCTCCGACACAAATATGGGGGTGTCTTCAGATACTCGGTAACCCAGATGTTTAGCACATAACTTATTTTTCTTAGTAATGTTAAAGCTCTTGCAAAGCTTCAGGAAGTCGGTCTTTACTAGTGTAGACGCAGTCTCAACCACAATCGGGGTGTTTGTAGAAGCACTTCTTTTTCCACGGACTCTATAGATATCCATGATGTCGGTTTTACTGAGCGAACTCCCTATGGACGATGCTAGGTGTAAAACACAACCGATTAAGTCGTCTTTCGTTTCTGTGGGCTTCCGCGGTAGATTTTTTATTTCAAAATTTGATTTTCGTGACGCCATTTGCAAGGACTCCATTTTATCCTCGAGCAGAATGATATAATCTGCGTTTTGTTTAGCCTTCTTCTCTAGCTGAGAGATTTTTTTGCTCAGTTCTTCGTTTTGTGCACTGAGCAGTGAAATGGAGTTTTCAATATTGAGATTGCTCTGCTTGATTTCCTTTAAGGTTCCCGGGATGGATTTAATATCCTTTAGTTGTTCCGTCCATAATGATGAAATCATATTTTTTATTTCCTCTTTGAACATTGCAAAGTCATCCGAAGTGACGCTTTTACTCCGCGTAAAAACAAAACTCGGGGGGGTAACGTCAACATTTCTCGTTTCTGTATGACTCATTTCGACTTCACAAATCGACATGTCGTTTTTATTCTCCATGGTACCAAGATGTCAGCGGCCAAAAAGAGGTCCACACTAAGGTCACGAACTTTATTGTACCAAACAGAAGGGTGAATGTCGCTCCGCAGGAACAGCGTATGCGTCGGTAAAACAGTAGGTGAGAGATAAGGATACCGGTAAGGTGTCCTTGTCCTTCTTAGGTGTAGGGGGCGTGCTCTTGAGTGAGAGGACTATAGTAATAGCCAGGCGTCCCTCTTGTACGCGTACACTTTAGGCAGGTTCCACTGGGCCTTGGTAACACACCACACTGCTTATGCGATCCTAATAATTCGTGTTGATTTTATTGAGTTAAATTTAATTAAAATGTGAAAATAAAGACACTTGAAACGCGTGCGCACTCGATGCGATCCGAGAGGGGAGAGGACTTTTGAAAGGAGATTATACTGCGTTTTTTAATGTTTCATAGATTCCATGTTCACTAAGATATTGGTAGTATTCAAATTATTAAGGAATTATTACTAGGAATAGATCAAAAACCGTGAAGTTAAAACATCCTCAAAACCAACCGCGCGAAAAAACGTTAAAAAGTTTGATAAATTAAATTATCATGTAATTTAGGTACAAAACAAAGGTTCCCGAAATTTTTTTACGTGCTTCGTAAACACCATATTTCTATTTATATTTCCTTTAGATTAGTACGAAATAATTATTAAACGTGGTGTATGGGATCAAGCAATTCATATTTTTTTCTTATGTATATTATGTATGGATGCAGGAGGGGGGGAGGGTGCAAAAGCGTAAAAAATATTCGTCTTACATATTATTTGCATAACACCATTAATGTAATTTGACAAAAACATGAAATCTTCCTCTCTCAAGCAAGACCAAAACCGAAGCTAAGGTCGGTCACGGGATGGGTGACCAAAAAGTTATTATCTCGAGCTACTCCGTGCTTCGCAAGGCACGTTAAGTTTATTCCGGCTGCATTCGTAGTTGTTAATACCCTCAAATCCGCATTGGGCCAGCGTTGAATGTCATGTCCCTCCTTACCCATCGATAAGGAAGGCCTGAGCCCCTGCAGTGGAGACGTAAAAGGGCTGATGATGACGATGAAGTATATAGATATATCACTTACTCATCCCTAAGCCCTCGGAACATGTCCGTGAACGTCTGCCCTATAGTATCAAGCACCTCATGGTAGTGATGTTTGAAAGACATCTCCAAATCCAAACCAACAAACTCTGTCAAATGTCTATGGGTGTTTGAATCTTCGGCACGAAACACTGCTCCCACAGTAAATACCTAATAAAAAAAATAATACACTGTAAATCTATACTGATATTATAAAGCTGAAAAGTTTGTTTGTTTGTTTGAACGCGCTAATCCCAGGAACTACTGGTTCGAGTTGAAATATTCTTTTTGTGTTGAATAGACCATTTATCGAGGAAGGCTTTAGGCTTTATAACATGACAACACAAAAATTACTCATCCTTGAAGGCTTGCGTGCGTGCGCTGCGACAACGGTTCAAGATACCAAAAATATATCTTTGAAAAACTATGCTATGATAACAGCAATCGATACCCAAATAAACGCGGGCGAAGCCGCTGGCGGAAAAGCTAGTACCTAATAAAAAAAAATATAATAAAAGAAATACCATTAGAAAGATAAAAAAAAATATCACGTTTATTGTTTTCTTTGAAGTCGTTGAAATTTTCGAGTAAAATACAATTGGTCGAATATTACCCGTAAACTTGTAAAGCCAACTTAAGCATGATAGTTTTCCTTTTAACTTCGTTATAATATTAACCACTGTCGGAACGTTTGAATTTTTACCAAGGACCGTTTTGTCCAGTTGACCGGTTGAGGGAGGAAGTTAGCTCTTTAAAGCTTAATAAGTCGCAAACGACTAACTAAGTAAGACGGATGAAAGGACAGACGGACATGACGAAACTATAAGGGTTCCTTGTTTCCTACGGAACCCTAATAATCTACTAAGCAACCATTGTTGTGAACGACCATCGAAAGCCAAACGTAGATTCAATAACTTCAATAGCATTAGAATTGGAAGTAAATATTAAAGTTAGAAGTCGGTTCCATTTTATTTTTATTTTATGCTTTTTAGTGATATTTATATTTTTTATATAGGTAATAAGTAACACTAAAAATATTAAATATCTATATAATTATGAATATTCAACATAGTGTAAGTTGATTGCTTGTTTGTTTGCATTGGAATGGCTTCGAAACTATTGGACTGATTTATAAATGAAGTAAAAAGTTTATGATATATAAATACATATTTAATTATATAAATACATTTGAATGAAATGAAAATGTTTTTATTCAAGTAAGTTTGTTACAAGCACTTTTGAATCGTCCAAAAATATTTTTTCCTCTACCACTTGTTCAGGACGTCTTTTAGCTGACAAGAAGAACAAGCGAAAGAAACTTACCAGCTTTTTATCATATTTAAAGCACAATAAGTTCGAATGTCAGTCGGAACTTTACGCACGTATACGTAAAACGCGTCAGAGAGATTCTTCAATTTCGAAAAAGAATAAAGAGAAAAGATATTATTTTTAATTGTAATTTTAAGAGGCTATGCAGTTTCTTATGGGTCTGTAGTGACTGCGTTCTAAAAGATTTACTGTGACTCGTCGCTAGAACTATAGTAGCTTTTTCAGCCCGGTAGCCTCCAAAAAGTCTATATATTTCTAGGCCGGTGATGTATCGATGTATGCTTCGTATCACTCACCTTATCGAAGTCAGCAGCTATCGCCATTTGCTTGTAAAGTTGTGGACTCTGTGCTAAATAAGCTGATGACTTGAAATACGATACGGTGAATACATTCGCGCCTCCTTCAGACGCTGCCGATATTATTTTAGGCGTATGGATCTCTACAAAACCTGGTCAAAAATTTCAGTATATCAGAACTGGAACTTTTATAGCTCCCATGTAGCATGCATTACTAAATAAAAAGGTAAGCTAAAATATACAAAATATGCTTGTAGAAATCAAATATTTAAAATGGTATTGTTATTGCTCTAATTAGTTGTTTTGTAAATAGGTATTTAGACTTGCTTCACTCGTTCATTCCATACGTAGTATTTGAGTTTGGTGTGTTATATATTATTTTGATTTAGGACAATACGAGCCGAATACGCTTGTCTTAACCTCAATTACTATCAAAGCTTATAATTACATATATATATATTAGGCTAGTTAACTGACCTCTTTTAGTGAGTATGTCTCGGAATAACCTGCATACTCCAGCTTCTATTCTAAAGATAGCTTGGTTTGCGGGCGTTCGTAGGTCCAATACTCGATTGTCCAAACGCGTGTCTTGGTTCACACGAATCTTGAGCGCTTCAGGATCCTTCGGAAAATGAAAAACAATATGTATTTTTTATTTATTTATCGTTTTCATCAAAACTAAAGCTAATCAAAAATGACAGAAGGGAAAACGTCAAACCGAGTAGTGTTGACTTATTCGAATTGAAGAGCCAAAAGCTACAGTTTACAAATTTTCACAGTTTTTAAAAAATCACTTAAAGGTTTCATTACAATATAACTACACCACTACAACATAATATAATATACGAGTATATTCGAGATATTACTTTAAATATTTATTTCTCACACATAGACTGATAGTAAGTATACTCAATTATATTATAATACAAGTACTCAACTAAGGACATATTACACAATTTAATAGGTTTCAATGGTGAAATAATACTTTTTTTTTTGTTAATAGAACTACAGAGTCGTATTTAAAATAAAACTTTATTTATTGTTAGCCAGTCATTTTGTTTGTATAATTTAAAGTAATAAAAATAAAAGCTTAGATATTTATGGATGCCTTTCTGTATTTTAAAACTGTTGCTAGTAACTGCACATCATTATCAGATATTTATCAGATGATTATCCGATAACTATCATGATAATTATCCAAAGAAAAAAAATATCTTAATAATTAAGAACCCTGATTCAATGCATAGGTAAGTTACTTAAATATATTTAATATTTACTATAATAAACTTTTTTTGCAGTGTCTAGGATCAGCGGCGTGGTGTATCTCCGTGAAGATTTATCATTTAAGTAATGTATGTGATTTTGTCTTGTGTGTTTTAATATTTTATTCTGGTTTTTATATATTTTTTACAAGAAAATGCAAGGTCAGTAAGGCAGCCAAATCGTTTAGAGTCCTAATTAGAGCCTACAAAATAAATTTATACTCACATCGTTCTTTTCCGGTCTCGCCGCGTCTTCTATCTGCAAGGGTAGTTGCGCTTTCGCAGCGGAAACTACCCACACTTCGCTCGCCACTAATTCCACCTCGCTAACCGTACACGATTCGACTGGGGTCGCCGTTTTGACAATCGTACCATAGACGTCAATTATAGACTCCTTTGTTATACTATAAAATAAATTAGTTATAAATCATTTACGAAGTTGGATCAAAAACGAATTTGATGGATACGGGTCTAATTGTCTAAAAATAATTGTCTAATTTAAAATATATCGCAATCACTTTCAATTTAACATTTGACAGATATTCATTAACTTCAAGGTACAACTGTTAGACACGTTAGATCATCGATTGCGATGACAACTTTATTTTTTAAAGATATTAAATGTACGATATTATTAATTTGACTTTAATTGGAATTATCTAAGTTAAGAGTTAGAGAAAAGTGAAACGAAAGAGTTAAATGCTAACTGTACTCTTTCGATGGTTTAGCTCAGTTTTATTTTCTCGTTCCAAAAACGATTGACAAAGCTTGACATTTTAACCGTTATATAATACACAATAGAGAGTTGAGACACACGATAGAGTTTGAAATTAACACAGGACACCTGCTGAGAGGTATGACCAATAAGGATGACGCCTAATTAAAAAAAAAAAAAGGAAATTCTGTAGTACGTCAGCCAGATAATAGAACAAATATTAGACACCTACTAGCTTTCCGCCAGCGGCTTCTCCGGCGTGGTCCCTATGGAATTATTTATTTCGATTTCCATTCATACTAAGGGGCCGTCCATAAATTACGTCACACTAAATTCAGGATTTTTAACTCCCCCCCTCCTGTCACCTTTTTCTCTATACAAATTCCACTAAATATTGTTCTAATGTCACAGTTCGTCGACCCCCCCCCCTCCTAGAGTGTGACGTAATTAATGGACGACCCCTATAATAATGACAAATTGAAAAGTAAACAATGGTTACTATGGCTATGTTTTAATTCCATATAGAAATCTTCACTCCCATTTTGTTTCTCTTTATTCACTGTTTTGCGGGATAACATGTTCACCGCATATGATAGCTTTTCTTAGGTGAAAGAATTTTTAAAATCGGTCCAGCAGTTTTGGCGAATATTCGATGCAAGCAAACAAATAAACATACAAACAATCAAATTTTTTCACTTTATAATAGTAGTACAGACCTATTTTACTTCAATTTAACCAGAAATGGCTTAGGTAATAGGCATTAAAGTCAGGTGGGCTTGTCACAATCATGCAAAAATAAAAAAATTGTTTTTAATATTCATCCCTATTTCAATGTAATATAGTACAAAAAAAGGGGAAGAATTAAATTTATTAGACGCTTACTTTCCAACAAATTTGACCAGTTGCTTGCTGACATTCTTTTCTTCACTGACTGAGACCAGGAGTTGAACTGTGGTCGAAGTCTGTCGGAGTACAGCGAAACACTGTTTGCCTTTAGCTCGAGATGTTTGTAGACGTGCTGTGAATAAAAATAATCAATAATGCAACGGAAATTTTCCTCAAATTTATATACAATTTAAATGACGTCAAATTATCCATATCTAGAAGATTAATTCAATACATTTTAAACATTCATCAGTCGAAAATTAAATTCATTCAAATCAGTTAAATATATTTCACAATTTGTAGTAACCTTATGTACTGTTTTACTTAGGTGTGTACATTTACCAGTATTTGTGGAAGCGATGATGAAGGTAATAGAAAGTTCATTAAATATGTAAATAATAGAGACAAGATCATTATCTATACTTAGTATAAAGTGAAGTCACTTCCCGTTGTTTGCAAGCATAGATCTTTTAACCTAAACAACGGATTGTCCGTTAAGTCAGAACGGATATCGGTCTTTACGGACAGATCTTTGATCTTGATCTTTATACAGAGTGGATTCAAGAGGAAGGTTTATTTGTAATATAGGCCCATTTGGGTGAAGCCGCTTGCAGAAAGCTAGTAAAAGAATATGAACATGTTCACGGATTTATAGCAATGAGTAGGGTCATAGCTAGCATATTAGATTGAGTAAATACTCAATCTAATATTCCAATCACCAATGGATATGTTAGTTTTAGTATCAACAGTTACTTTTGAGCAATCTATTTGAGAGTGACAAATCCAGTTACTATGGTTTTATTTATTATAATTTTAAAATGTCCTTTAAGTCCAAAAACACAAATAAATATACATCCACAGAAAATAGTTTTACATACACCATTCACTTCTTTGTAATATATTGGCTATTTATTTATAGCTGTATACATAAATCTAAATTCTTTTACCTCTCACCCATACATCTTGTCCATTTTTCCCAACAGTGAGATCCTTTACGTCTGTGTAGACTCTATCACGATGCTCCCCTGAAGATTGTAGCAACTTGTATGTGCCATAATGGCCCTCAGAGATGTCCGGTTCTGATTCAGCCTGAGGTTGACCTGATGCTGCCTGTCAGATGTATTGGAACTTTTAATAGGATTCACAAATTCATTGAAAAATAGTCACATTTTTGGAATCATTCACATTCTTTATCCAGAGCAGATGTGTCAAAGAGGTTTGTTAAAATAGCTAGGAATTATTATTTTATCGATACCTTCTTCATTAATCTAATATACCAGCCGTCTGCTTGAGAGGACCGCTGGCAACGTCATCGCATGCGTCTGTCCATACAGATTGCTCTTATAGCTTCCGTTTTCATGATTTTTTGGTTTTGTTTTGTTTAATTTACATTTTTAGTCGACAACACAGAAAAAAAAAAATGTTTAGGGTTAAATTTAAAGATGCCTCACATAAAAAGACAAGTAATGACAGATTAGTTGTAGCCGGTTCTGTTTTTCATATATTATGATATATCAAAAACTGAAAAAGATCTGATTTTTATGTAAAAATTTATATCAAATCGATGCATTTTCTATGATGCAAACAATGATTTCTTTATCTTACCATTTAGCCCCATATAAGGCCGATATAACAAGTATGCATAACTTGCATTATATGCACATGTTGTAAGTGTAAGAGGCTTTTCTGAATCTAATTCCAAATACGAAATGTTCGTTTGTTTAAAATTTTAATTAATATTTTAAAGTTGTGTCACTATATGACATCCACACACAACAAAACTTAATTGATGAAATTCTAAGAGACCTTAATTTGTCTATATGATATGTTGAAAACTACCTGTTAATATATATTTTCATAGCTAGCAATACTGATAAATAACAGATGTATGAAATTAGGTAGACTAAAATGAAAAATTATCTTTCTGATTATACCTGTTACAAAATATTTATGCGGAAATTCGTAATTAGTGAGGGTAGTACAACAAAAATAAGTGGTAATCGGTGTTGATTCTTACCACTGTTCCCTTTAACGTTTAGTTAAAGAATATCAACTTCAAACTCGATAAATGATGGAGAGTTGAACTGACTTAAATAACTTTACCAAGGGGATTTCACGGACTGAATTTCTTGTTTTGCACAACCCCTTTGCTAATAATTTAGACAAAATACATCATCCATAAGTCACATGGCAAAGTTAAACGCAAAAGAATCAAAGAAATTCTAAGACACATAAAAGTGATGTTTAATAATTATTTATGAATACAGTTATATATATCTCATACTTTGATTAGAGAATTCAAACGATACTACTACTTATTGTATATCATTTTGATTTCATAAATAAATGTAAAGTTACACCATATTCTTCTAACTTTATCCTTTGGTGTAGTTAAGTATTTTAAACTACTTTGAAACGTCAAAGTTAATTTTTAAACAAATTTTAATTATTATGTATGAAATGTATTGACCTTTTTCATTTATAATTGCACACTTAGGTATTTTGCACTACAAATGCAGCCAGAACCAATGGCTTAATGTGCCTCTTGAAGCATGGGATAGCTCGAGATAATATTTTTTGGTCACCCATGTAATATTGTTGAATATTATTTTATATTTACAGTAGGTATATTGATACCTTATGATCTGCTTTCTTCTGTTGTTTCTCAGCTGCTTTTGCAGCTTTCTTTGCAGCCTTCTTGCTGACGGCCGCGTCTCCCTCTACTGTAGGTTGATTCTCCTCAGAGACTACCATGATTTATATTTGAAATCTGAAAATAAAACAAAATAATAAAAAAAGACAATAAAACAAGAGGTCACAGGATTTTCAAAATATTCCTTTTGCATACTCCCATTGACACACTTAATACATCAGACCCATAGAAACCCAAACCAGCATCCTCTATAATCTGATATTCCTATCATTGTTGATTGTACATAAAATTTCAGCAAATCCTCACAGTTCCCAAAAAACACTTATATTTCTAGAACACATTCGTTAGACTGTAATTATATTCTAATAAAAATTTAAATATGTTATTATTCATTGTAAGATGCACAGAACTAATTTTTAAATAGAGTAGATGTTTTTACAATTTCACTTAATGTATTAAAATGAAAGTAGGTTTTCTAAATATAAAGAAAATTGTGAAATTTATTGCTTTTGAGTTTTGAGTCTGTGGCTTTTGTTTGGTTGCTTATTGTTATATGATTTACATGTACTGTTTATTCTGAATATTATTTGTGATACTATAAGTCTATTTGCTAACAAAAGATTCAAAATTGTCTGTATGTTGTAACCTAAATAAAACTAAAATAATAAAGGGACTAAAGGATCTCAGTACTGCATAATTAATGTTGGATTACAAAGGGTCTACTGTATTAAGATATTTTAATAATAAGTACTAATCTACCCTCCAAAAGGCCTACATTATAAAATAAAAAATATATCATGTGACATATCAAATAAAAGGACTTGTGTAAAGGAAATATAAATAGATAAGAAGATTGCAATATCATTGTTTTGTTAATATTTTTATGATAAACATATAATGACATTAATAAAGAGTCTAAAATCCACATCATATAGAAAAAAACTTCTAATAACATTATTGTAGTAAGTTTATTTATGTAAACATGACATGCATAAAGTATTTGAAGAGTTTTAATTGAGGCTAATTCTTATTAATAATAATACGGGTATAAACCCGTATCAGCGAAGGCAGATATAAAATTAACAATTCCTTATGCAAGTTTTATTTATATAGTATGTACTTTAACCAAATAAAGAACAAATAAAAAGGTCATAACAAAATTTTAGGTTATTCTAAAGAGAATAATGTTTGTTTTAATCCTTTACACTATTTTAAATCGTGAAATTTTAAAATAGTACATTTTCTCCTAATAATATGGAAATAATTAAACCTCACACTTTTTATGAATATGACTTATTTACAATTTAAGTTGCATCAGCCATGCAGACTTAAAAACTTTCACAGTACTTACATTTAATTTCGATATTTATCACTGCTTGCAAAAATATGACCTTAAGCTAGTAACACAAGCCGGTAAGACAGATAAAATTATCAAAAATCTGATTAAATACACTAGTTTGGGGGTTATATTTCAGGATAAGCGGTCGGCGACCTGTTGACATTATCTGTCAATGTTAAATAATCTGACAAATTGTTTTATGTTTAATAAAAAGCAAAGGAATCAACTCGATATCATTAATACAGTTTTATATATCACTGTTTATGTATCTTTGGAGTTTTAGATGTTAATACAGAACATTCTAACATAAAAGAAGTGCATATAAAATGTCTATTTGCAATGTCTTGTTGGGCAGAGCCTGTTTACGAGTCACGCGAGAAACTTCTATATGTATCTTGCATCCATACATCACAAATTCATTGCGTAGAGAATAAAACTAAGGTTCATTATTTTCCACAAAACTTTAAATTGTTCTTTAAATATATTTTAACTTTTATGAACTACCAAATCTCACTATCACAGCTCAATATAAATAATAATTGAACTATATAATGAAGTTGACTCAGAGTTGGACCCATTTCACCGTGCAAGCCTGGCAAAATATTTTTTATTAAAAATGATGGGCTTGTTTTTATATTGTAAACCATACTTATTTTGTGACTTATCTCGAGGTTTACCACGGTTTAAAAATGTTTAAAATTCAACTTATTAACCTATTTAGTAAAGAAGAGACAAGAGAATGAAAGAAGAAAGATGTCATATGCCGTGGGCAAGTGTCATTGTGTAATTTGCAAACCATTGAAAACCTAAAAACTACAATATTCATACAACCTTAGGAAATTGGTCTGATGTATAAATTTATTGTTCAAAATGTCAATAAATACTATAGGCCCTGACAAAGAGTTAGCTGGGGCGCAGTATAATATTGAAAAAGTTGATTTGAGTGTAGAATGCCAGTATTCACAGCCAACATACCAGGAGTTCTCAATGTCGGTGATAGGATCGAAATTGGTGGTAAAATCAAGGAGAATGCTAGAAAGTAAGAGCAAAAATGCTAGTTGTTTGGAAAACACAATTTTTATTTTTAGTGAATTTTGTGTTTCGGCCGTTAGAGTACTAAGGTTTAAATCAAGTGGTAAGTCAGAATTGTATAACCTCACGTTGACTTCTGTGCGTGTAGTCTCTCTCCTTGATTAAGAAAGGAGGACAGCGCGGCAGAGGACTTAAACTTTTCGCCAGTCCAGTAAAATAAATACATCAAACTTTAATCTTTACCGATTGTTCGAAGACAATCGTTTTCCAAATGCATTGCTAATTAAGAAATCGCTATAAAAGAACATAAATTTTGCAATACCTACATTAATGTATAGGCTTTTTTTTCTCGTGAAGGTTAGTATTATGTATAGGTATATTTATTTATTTAATCTTTATCGTATAGAATAGCGGACTTAATGCCAACGGCATTCTCTACCTGTCCACCAAGCAAAATGTAGGAAGCAAAATGTATGGCGATAAAGAGATGTGTAAAACAAATAAAACACTTATACCTAAAATAATAAACAAATAGATTTATGAAGAAATAAATTAGTCTTGAACAAGCTTAATAATATTGTTCATTATATATTTGTACTACAATTTATACATTTAATTTTACTATTTTTTTAATGTGTATGTAGGAACGGTCCTTTATTCTCCCTTGCCAGTTGTCTCCATCATCAAGTAGAAACCAACACCTTCAACCTTCCGGTTCCTATATGTACCTTCAACAAATAATTTGGTTTCTAAATTCTAAGCAGGATTAAATGGCGCAACAGACGCAATTCGATCTGCTATTGCGTGCAGCAGATTAAACAACTTTCGCAAAGTTCGATCATGGCTTGGATGATCGATGTTTGTCAATTCTTGTTATTCTTCTTCGTTCATAATTTAATGGCACATGCTGTTAGGTCTTTTTCCGTACGTTCCGTTTTCTATATGTATTCTTTTAAGAAGCACTTTGTGACACTGAACTCCAACAGTAAAATGATAAACAGATGTTTTAGCAATGTGGAAACATGAATCATTTTCAGGATGTCAGTGAATCTATGCGCTCAGGAGGGTGAAGAACCACGCGACGTGGTACTCCACTTCGACGTGCGTTTCCATCGAGATAATATAATTTCTCTCTCCCGAAAGAATGGCATATGGATTGGCAGTGGCAACTATGATACGAATTACAATATGTTTGTGCCTGGTTAGTTTTATTTTCTACCATTAAAGATATTCGCGACTGTTCATGTGTAACGAATCAAAATTTCTTCTTGTTCGTAATTTTAAAAGAAAGCATAAGTTATAGTAGTAGTATCTCATCTCAGTGCGTTGATAAGATAAATCAGTATTGCATTGTCATTTATGCTTGATTTCGATTCGGATTTGATAACTTTTCGGTAAAGGGCACGGATATAAGATAACAAGTAGTACCTAATAATTTTGGCAATAATAAGCGCTTCAGACAAAAGTAATTCTTATTCTGAGTACTCCTATTTTTAATTAGCAACATTGTCATTGGTATTATGACCTTCAGGTACAGTGTTCCGAATAATATTCGAGATCAAGGACACAGACGTGATAACTATCTATTGCCAGGGCAAGTTCCACTCCAACTTCTTACCGAAGATACCACTTACTATGGCACGATACATTGTCGCCTGGGCTGATATTGAGAGAATCACTCACTGCTTCTTTCATTTTACCAATAAGGTAAGATGTTTTTTTTTCAAAAAAGCTTCGAACACGCTACTGCCTATCTCTGACAATACTCAGTTAAAAAACATCATGCGGGGGGCTTGTTGAAGTTACGACAGGAAGTAGAAGGTGCTCGAATATACAGTCAATAAAAACTGTATTCATGACCAGTTGAGAGGGAAATTAATAAAGAGGTATTTATTATGTTTAATGTGTTTTATCATGTATCTATGAAATATATCCAAATTTTATTTAATTCTAAAATTTTATTTAATTTTCTTAATTAAAAAAAAGTAAAATTATTCCTTTACATAAATCTAACTTTCTACTAACTTTAGACCTATATCCGTGCTACCTACATTTAGTAAGATTTTTGAAAAAATCATGTTGGATCAAATACAAACATACTTTTACAAGAATAAGCTTATGAATCGACAACAATTTGGTTTTACAAGAGGTCGCTCAACAACCGAAACCGGTGTCGAGTTAATACAAGAAATTTTTAATGCCTGGGATTCACATGATGCGTTAGGTGTTTTCTGTGACCTATCTAAGGCATTTGATTGTGTTTTTCATGAAACATTGATTAGGAAACTTCATTTTTATGGATTTAGAGATAACCCATTGGATTTTATTGTCTTGTACTTGACTGACAGAGTACAGAGGGTTGATATCAATGGCAAAAGATCCCCTGGATCGAAAGTTAAGATGGGTGTTCCGCAGGGCTCAATACTTGGTCCTTTCTTGTTTTTGATTTATATAAATGACTTGCCTTATTTCGTAAGGGATGATCACGATACCACAGTATTTTTTAGGAATAACACATTCAAGGGTCTTGTGTGCGCTTCTATAATAAGGTCCCAAGTAAAATACAACAATTAGATATCATGCAGTTTAAATCTACTATTAAAAAAATACTTATTAAAAAAGCTTATTATAAGGTATCCGATTATATAACAGATAAGAACGCTTGGACTTGAGATGATTCAGCAAATGGATAGGTGATTACTTCTAAAGTCATTGTCTTGTTTCTATTATTATTAAATGATTATGTTATCATTATAAGACCATAGTTTTTTTTTCTCTCTCTGTTTATAATGTATTGATCTGGTAATGACATGGTTTTTGTGAATGTCATTACTCTTATTAGAGCTGGTGAGTTTCTTGCTCATTCTTCTTTTCAGCCAAAACACGTCCTGAACGTAGGGAAAAAAATGAAGGACGATTCTTAAGTACTTTTAAGAAGTCTATTTGAATCAAGATTTAGACTTTGACTTTCCCGCGAAAGCGCCATTTCTGTCATGGCGTCGCTATGACGTCATGACACTATGAAACGAATATCGTTCTATGTATGCTCATGGTTGAATTCTCTAAATTCTGATATGAGTAAAAGGAGCGTGACGTTACGCGCTGTTTGCGGTCTCGTGACAACGAGCATAAAACTTTTTTTTTCCATAATTAATTTAATTAAATAAACATAAAAGTGTGATTATCGGTATATAAAAAAAAATGGGAAAATAAAAGCACCCAATTTCACCTAATACTATAATCGATAAGTTGACTAAAGTTTTTCGAATATGATATTGCAGTATTGTAGTGCAATATCACCTTAAGCCTCCAATAGTTTGAAGTGCACTAACACACTATTGTTACTGCGAGAAACGCTTTCCTACTCAGGCTACGAATAAACTGGCACCGATCAGAAGATGGACGTAGCTAGGCGGGGTTACACAAAGTGAAGTTAGGTAAGTTTCTATGCTACTGTATTCGATTTGCTTTGGTCAACTTCAAGAATATAATAGTGGGCTCTTTATCTTTCCCAACATTTTAGTAGGTAAATATCATGGTATGTGTACACACGTCATACGTCAGACTACCACAATATGTCAAATTTATTCAATTGATTTTGATCTTTACCTTCAATGTATTAAGGTTTAAAATCAAGGGAAAAATTTACAATATTGTATAGCCTGACATGCTGGTGACTATACCATGCTGTAACGCCCATGCCAAATACGTAAAAGATACACGATAATTTAACCATTACTTACTGATTTCTATTTTTTTAAATATGCATTATTTTCTAGGCTCAAAGTGGGGATGATCCTCTCACTCCAGGAGTATGTGCGCATATTCCTCGCGCCAGCATGCTCTCTGGGGATAATAAAAGGTGGTTCTTCGTTCTTGATTTCAGTAGATTAACAGGTTATCGAAAAGGGACCGTCCATTAATCACGTGAGGCTTGAAGGGGGGGGGGGGGAGCGATTCGTCAAAAATTACGAAATATCACAAGGGGGTGGGAGGGTGTAGTAATATATCACGTGTATTTATTTTTTCCTCAACGCGTGATTATTAGACCGAAAAGCGACGTTTTTTTTTAATACATGTGATTTGGTTGAAGGTTGAGTAGCTCGGTGGCGTAGTGGATAAGCGCCGCGGCCCGCGATCGTTGTCGTTAAGCAACTATCGCAAGGGTCGGTCACGGGATGGGTGACCAAAAAAAAAAATATATTTTCTCGAGCAACTCCGTGCTTCGGAAGGCACGTTAAGCCGTTGGTCCCGGCTGCATTTGCAGTCGTTAATACCCTCCAATCCGCATTGGGCCAGCGTGGAGGGTCATGGCCTATCCTCCTTAACCATCCATAAGGAAGGCCTGAGCCCCTGCAGTGGGGACGTAAAAGGGCTGATGCTGCTGATGCTGGTTGAAGGAGAGAGGGGGGCTCAAAAATGTTGAAGAAAACATCACGTGATTAATGGACGGCCCCAAACGGACCAATTTCTTCGGTCTTTTTAAAAAATTGTTTTAGTATTTCAAGATAAATAACAGGCATCGGTAAACATCAGAAAAATCGTCTGGTAATACTTATAAAGAAAATTATCAAAAGTAATTTGGCACTGAAAACTATAACATAAAAGACTGGTAGAACAACATCGTCTTATACTCGCTTTGTTAAGCGTCATGCTCGTAAACGGGTGCTTCCAGCAGGGATGACGCTGCTTTAGATTAATTTGGTTTGTTTGATATTTATTTATAAATAAATGGAGTAGGTATCGGTTTTGTTGTTAACATCTTTTGCTTCGTCCAAAACCTAAACTATGTAAGAGCAGCTCTATATAATTATACTGCGTAGATGTGTCACTCATCTTCGGAAACACCAAGTTAGATGATGTACACATTATTTATCTTGAAATACTGTATACAGCGTGTTTGGTAATACCTGTATAATCCCGAAACATGGCCATACAACCTAGCACAAAGAACACAATTGATAGGTCAAAAAACAATTTCATGTAAATTGATATTTTCATACAAATATTTGAACAATTTGTTTTCAATTACTATGCTACAACCCTGTAAGCTTATACGTGCCGTCCCGGCGCACTCGCTCTTTCTCTCTCTCTCTCTCTCTTATTACCTCTCACTCTCTCGTTTCCTTGAATACATTTTGACGTTGCCGACGCGCGCACTCGACTACGTATGAGTTTACTTGTAATTAAAACAATTTAAGATTAAATAGGTACATACCTATAGCGTTCTAATCACTCTTTCAGCTTTCACTTGTCAACATTACCTACACTTCACCTCCACTTTATCAGTCCAGGGTCTCGATATGCCGGCCACCGCATAAAACACACATCTCCATTCGACTCGACACAGACCGTGTCGTGTTACTCTCGACGTAGTCATATCCTCTGTCTCGATGCAATAGGTGATCGGCCGGCCTACCTGTGGCACACTATGAAATGAACCAGTTGTATGTAACCAATTCACAAATGCCGCGAATCACCGGTAAGAAGGAAGACGTCGATGGTTTTCAGGTCTTCCTGACACGTGGCGCTCGTCATAACGCCGCCGAGCCGCAGCAAGATTACCGTCACAAGCACCGCCACACATTATCATCTCGTAATATTAGGCATTTGAGTACGAATTCATTGCACTGACCGCACACAAACATAATACACAGGTAAACAGAACGAGAATGAAAAACAAACCAAAAGTCCCGAAAGAACGAAAACGTAAGTTGACCTTCTAAATTCTGAAAACTCACAAGTACGCCGATGAAAGTCACGGACGCGACTGACGCGATGACCAAAACTACATAGGTTATTATTATTGCAACTCGAACACCAATGTACCTAAATCAAAAGTGTACCGATTTTGGGGTTCCGCGTCAAGAAATATTATTTATTATTAGACCTTTCCATTACAACTAACCTTTATTTAATTATCATTTAAACTAAGAATAAGAGAGATACTTAGATTATTAATATCATTGTATAAGTCCGTATTTTATTGTTTCGTGAAAATAACACGGCTTTATGAAAAAAATAACAAAACTTCAGAGCAAATAATCTACAGAACCTTACTGACACATCAGAAACCCGAGTTTCTCAATACACATCGTCGTCGATTTTATGTCTCTCTCGCTCCTTCTTGCATAGACTAATGTGAGCAATGGTGCAGATATTGAACTTCAATCAAAGTATTTGCAATTTCTTTTTTATTTTGACTGTATTATTACAGAACTTTTCATATTAATAGTTTTTGAAACACCGTTAATCACAAGATTAGTGTTTTTTTATAGTTAAAAGTCATTTACTACTAACTTTTTCTTTGTTTGGAAATAATAAATTCCTCTCAGATGCATATTTATTCTAGGCATTTATCTTTAGATTTATTTAACTTCTGTTATTTTTTAAACTAGTTCGGCACATGGAGTCGATGACCAAATACAACACAACAGCTGTTTTTAGGGTTGTCAGCTTACAGTTTTACTTCGAAGAAAAAAAGCTGAATATCTAGGTCATGTGCTGGGTTTCAGTCTTAGTGATCATTTTTCTGGGTTCTATTGATCATACCGTATGTGCCATATTCGGGATTATACAGGTATTACCAAACACGCTGTATATTCAAATCATGAAATTCATCACGTTCTGGAGAGCAAATGAAAAATGCAAACAATCAAATCTTTTTTCTTTATAATTCTAGTATAGATATCCCTTCATGTGTTAACTAAATATAGCTTTCTCTTTCTGCTAACGAAACATAAAAATATGTCATTTTTCATTTTGACAGTCCAAGACCTCACAGGAAATCCGCACCAGGATCCCCAAAGTTGGAATCATCGAATGAAAGCTCTGATGACGAAACTAAAACGAAACTCAAAACAGAAGGTCGAGCTGATAGATACTTCTATGACACCCTCATGTGCCAACAGCCAGATCACGCAAAATTTATACCAGACGTTAAGTACAGACGTGACCATTGCCAAGGCAAGAGCAATATGGACTATGCAAGGAAATATAGAGAAGTCTCCGATTCAGATAAAAATGATAGTGAGGATTATTCCGAAGAGGCTGCCTCTAAGAATACGGACACATCAGCTGCAGAATCTGAAGATGTATTACACGAACTTGGAATGAAAAAACGCGTGAGGAGAGGGAGACTTGCACCACCTTTTGCCCAAGTCGTAAATTTTATGGGAAAAGCAGCGAAGAGAAATTAGTATTGTGCTATGAAGGTCGACTGTTTTATAATTGGTAATCTTTTTGATTTTTTTAAATGTATTTTACGTTTGGAATTGTTTTGTATATTGTATTAACAAATGTCTATTTTTTTTTATAAACATAGGCCAGACATAAATGAATGTTCCAGTTTTTTATTTGTAGTATAAATAGTTTAGGACCTAAAATGTTTCCTATAAAGACTTTGTTCTTTTTGTTTCAAAATCGTACCATTTCAGATTGGAAAAAAAGTTAGTTATTTTTTGTATCTTTAATACGAAGGAGATAAAATATGACATACATTTATAATATATGAAGGTGTGTAAAGTTTTGTGGATTAGTTAAAAAGACCATAAATTCAAAATTAACATTTATTTCTTTCAGTCATTACCCTTAATATGCCTTAAAGTAATTTATACAGTATTTACATATGAAAATGCTGATTTTTAAATATATAAATATAAGTACAAAGTAGACAATTTCAAAGGCCTCAAACGCTTATGTGATTTCGAAACTGTTAATCAGAAGAATAAGTAAGGAATTAAATAATTTTAAACTTCCCGAAAAAATATCCACAATATACAGTCCAAAAGAATATAAATCGACTTTTTTCGTTGTTCACGTGCTAATAAAATGCTATTGTTAACTGTTAATAAAAGCACAGATTGTATTAGCATGGTTTTCTTTAACGCCTATATTGAGAAGTAACGTCTTTGACACCAGGAAAATTGACTCTCCATCTATTTCATGCTCCATTACCAATGCTGCTGTTTCGTTCCACTTGAATTTAGTTAGATGCGATGACAGTTGTTCGATCTATAAAAAAATATATATAAGTTATATTTATTTATATTACATCATGGTCAATAGGTGAAGCAAATCAGCTTTGATCGGTAAGAATAGTTAGATTTTATGTACCTATGTTATTGTAATAGTTGTGGATTTACTAATAAGAAATTAATTAATAATAACTACGTTACACTATCAATAATATCCTATTAATATTATAAAGGCGAAAGTTTGTAAGTATGGATGTATGGATGTTTGTTACTCTTTCACGAAAAAACTACTGGACGGATTTGGATAAAACTTTACAGCAATATAGGTTATACATCAGAATAACACATAGGGTACTTTTTACTGGGAAAACTTCTCACTCCCACGGGATACCGACTTCCACGCGGACGAAGTCGCGGGCGTCCACTAGTTATATTAATAAAAACTTGCCCTATAGTTGAGCGATATATGGCAACCCTAGTATGGTTATCCCCTCCCCTTGCGTGAAATAAAACCATTGAATGTGAGTAATCAGATGGTTATCAGTGGCATTAATAAGACTTACATTTATTTTAACTTACCGTCCAAGATTTAACTAAGGCTTGCTGCAAGTCCATGAATGGGTTATCTGAAATTCAAAATACCAATGTGTTATTTTTTTATTTTATTTTTAATAACATGTTATCATGTGCTTCTTTTTTATAAGTTATTATAACTTTGACAAGTAACAATAAATTCAAACAAAATGTTAAGCTAAATAGATAGTATCTAACCTGGTTCATCTGATTTTTCATGACTGGTAATGCCTTCTTCAGTTTTTACTAGTGGCGCTGGCGCAACATTATTATCCGAATCAGTCTTTTGTTCTGGTTTAGTCTCAAGTTCATTTAATATTGGCATATCTTTAATTTCACTAACAGTCTTTTTATCTTCTCCTATATTGGTTTGATTTTTTCTTGTTTCATCTTCTGGGTCAATTTTAGTTTTGCAATCTTGTGGCGTTGGTTTAGTAGTTCTTCGTATTGCCGGATCTCTGATCTGAAATATACAAAATTTGTAATATGAAAAGAAGGCCAACTCTGTTTCTTCACAACGATAATCCTATTTTCGAAATTCTATTACGACGCCAAAGAATTCCAGTTTTCGATAATTTAGGTTGAATTTTCATTAATGGACAAATAAAATAAGCCTTTAATTAAAAGCTTGTCTTTGCAAATTTTTATCTTTTATAGATAAAATATGGCAGTTAGTAATTTTATCTCCTATTTGAAACAGTAACAATACGTAACATAGCATAAAAAAAAACATGTAAATACTGTTGAATAATAAAATTCATACTCACAGGAAACGCTACATTAGATTCTTGGATGACTATTCCATCGAGCACGTGTGTCAGTACGAAATCTCTTTCCTGTTTAGTAGACCTATCGACTGGGAGCATCCCTTTATTGTTTGGAGTTTTGAGAGTGATACTAGTATCATTCTCAACTTTGTGGTCAACTTTAATTTCTTCTGTACTTGATTTTACAGGCGCTTCTATGTTTTCTTGTTTTATTTCAAAAGAAACTTTACTTTCAGGTTCAATCTTTAAAATATTCTTTGTATCTTTCAATATATTTGCATTTTCTTTATCTGTAAGAACTCTACCACGGGCTTGTGTAAATACTGTATTTCTCACTAATTTATCTTTTTCAGTAATTAGTGAATCTTTTGTATCTGGATTAGTTTTGGCGTTACATTTATCAATTTGTATAGCTTGCTGGACATTTTCAACTAACTTACTAATCTCTTTTATTTCCACTGCTTGAGTTTCAGTATTACTAGGTAAGATGGGTTGAGGAATAATAGTTATGTTTGGTTTCTGGTCAACTTTCTGCATATTGTTTACGTTGGGTGTATATTCTAGATTCCTTTGTGGAATAGTAACAGGTTTCATGGGTGTTGTAATATTTACTTGAATGGCAGCCATTTTTCTGTGAATTTCATCGGGTGATTCACTCTTTCTTTTTTTGAAGTTTGTTTGATCTTCTGGTCTAATAAGAGTTATAGACGAGTTTGGGATATTAGCTTGTAAATTTGGCATGCTTGGTAAAGTAGAATTTATATTAATAATATTTGGTCCATTTTGCATTGGCTTATTAGGCTGTACTGGTACTTCTATTGAGTTTGTATAACTAGGTGCGCTGTTACGAAGTTGCTGAGGTCGTGGTTGTATTGGTCTGTAAGTTTGGCTCATACCTCTTGCACCAATATTGGTGCTTGTAAATTTATTTAAAGTAGTAGGAGCCACCTTTCTTATTCTTGGTTGTGAAGTTGCAAATGTTGGCGGAGACATTTGTGAACCAACACTATGCGTTTGTATTGAACGAGGAATACTGTTTAATGGCATGGCTTGATAATTTGTACTGGGCTGTGGAACATTCTGTATCGGGTTTACAGTTAGTATTTGAGGTGGTGGTCTCATTTGTTGCTGATTAGGTTGATTGATGTTCATAAAAACTGGCCTTACTTCTTGTCTTTGACTTTGTTGTGGCTGTTGGACTATTTGAATATTTGTCTCACTCCTATTTACGTTACTGGTAGGTATATTCGATTGCGTTTGTGTTGTCAGCTGCATTGTTTGACCAACATTTGGTATTGCTCCGAATGTTTGTGGTATTCTATCGGGCAAGTTTGGCATATTACCACCAATATTTGCTTGTAAATTTTGTACCATATTTTGCGGCATAATATTTTGTATCTGCATGTGTCTTTGTTCTTGATTTTGGGCCAAAATTTGCTGGGGTATGACTTGTTGATAATTTTGATACTGTTGCAAGTAGAACTGGTTTTGGTCTATATGCTGTGGGACACTCGATATAATGTTGTTAGGCATTTGCTGGACGTATAACACTTGATTTTGTATTTGCCTGTTCTGTGCCCATGGAGGTGGATTTTGTGGGTTTATGAAAAGTGTTTGGTTTGGTTGGATTTGCTCACCTGAAAATAAAATATTTACATGACTTCGTTCACCATCAGCTAGAGAAATTTCAATGCTAAAATTTAAAGTTAATGTTTTTGCAAAGTTCATGTACACACGACTGCAAGTCAGGTTACCACAATATGTCAAATTTCTATAGTTGATTACACAATTTAAAAATTATACTTGATTAAATTTCTATACTTCACTCTTCACTACATAGTATAAAACAAAGTCGCTTTCTCAGTCCCTATATTCATATGTATGCTTAAATCTTTAAAACTACGCAACGGATTTTGATGCGTTTTATTTTTCACAGATAGGGTGATTCAAAAAGAAGGTTTTCATGTATAATAAAAGCCGCTGGCGGATTATTAAATAAAAATAAGTGGAAAAGTTTAACAGATTTGAATAACCTGCTGCGTGCTGTTGACTGTGCCAAATATTAGTATATGTTTTAATTGATGGTTCTTACCTGGCTGCACTAAAATTTGTGTTTCGTAGACAACCCGGACCGGGCACAGCATCATTTGTTGTTGCATTTGTTGCATCCTAAAAATTAATAGTTGTTATATTTACCGACGTCATAATCAACCGATTATAATCCTTGTTTGTACCTGTTTTATATTAATAACAATTTACTTAAAGTTTGGTGAGTTTTAATGTTATTTTATTTATTTACTAGTTATTGCATTTTAAAAAATTTTATGCCAAAGGCATTCTCTGCCAGTTTACCAGAAAAAGATGTTATCTATTCATTTAAATAATTTGTGATATAATAGTTACATAGAAGAAGATTCTGGACCACTCCCTAAAAATGAAGACGTAAGTAAACTGTTTTATTAATATGTAAATGTTTATCTATGTAGTTAAAATATGCGACTTTCCCAAAATTTGAACCTTTAGAAATTTCCTATAGATAATATTGTTAAAATTTAGCAAGGAACTTACGCAATATTTGGTTCCTGCTGTTGCATTGTCTGCTGTATGGACTGTTGGACAGCCTGCTGCATTGGTTGCTGCATCTAAAATTATGTAAAAAACATCCTTCAGTCTTGGTAGTATGGTGGTGACAGAGCATTTATTATAAACAATAATATTATGAGCTGCCTGCTTTTCTATAGGCCCATTCGTCACTCTTGCGCTATTCAAGATTGAGCTACATCTGGCAGCAGGATGCGCCTTTTTCCATCGCCCTATTCTTTTATGTCGTTCAGAACGGCCATTTACCGATAGCCAACAATCTCACTCTACCAGTGGTTCTGATGTGCAATATAATTAAAGAATAACGTATTATAAAATGGCGTAAATACTGAGTGGCAAGATGTAGCTTATCCCTAACTCGCAGATCCCAAAATGTATGCTTTTGTGAGCGTTTGAGTGTGGTTGTTAATTTCAAATTCTGATTTTTTTTTAAATCCATGTCTTTAAACGTTAATTACGTGTAACGTTAGTTGTACATTCACAAACTATAGTAAAAAAAATATTTTTAAAAGCAAATTAATTGGACAAATGGAAGGACGGACAGACAGTTTCGGAGAACCGAGTGAACTTTGTTACTTACTCTTCCTTTTGGGATACGGAATCTTAAAAATAGGTAGAAGTGATACTTTGATAACTCCATCAAAGATACCTATTTATCAGTATAGCATTTTGAATGCAAAACTGAGTAAATATAATGAGTTATATTGTATTATAATAATTCTAATACTGTACAGTACATTCTTGAATATCAATGCCTCAGTCAGGATTCAATTGTGGAAATTGAACACTAGTTAAGTTTTGGACTCAATTATTAACACGTTAAAGTTTAAAATTAATGACAGAAATTTAAGTTTAGAACGCTTAGTATAATGGAGTAGCCCGTCCGTACGCACATCTGGATGACTTTGTTTTGCTATTAATATGTAACTGTACTTTGAAATTATTTTTTCTAAATAGTTTATTCATTTATTTCTTCTAGAATTTCTGTGGTAGTGAAATTGAAAATTGAAGAACTATTGGATCGCAAATCTGCGCCGTGTTTATGTTATGCGGTGATGGCTGCCCATGATTGTGCTGTTTCTTGGTGTTATTTAAGGATAAGACTAGCATTGAGAATTTTACAGAATCAGGCGTTATGTGGAAGTTGTTAGATATCATAGTTTCATAGTTATAGGATATAGAAAATTAGACTAAGTACGCTAGGAGTGGCATAATATTCAGGGACTTTATAAGTCTCAAAATAAAACAAAAAATTCTGCGGCAGGAGACAACGAAGAACGGCTAGTAATAAAACTTTGTAGGAGTCGTTTTCTTTTCTTTTGTATTATTTTGTAGACATCTGCAAATGCCGTCTTTATGTTTTATGGGACCATGAATCTATTTCTACCTGAGACAAAATAGTGATCATAATTGCTTACTAGTAAACAAAACGTAACTAATATTTGCAAAGAACCGTGTACGCAAAACGTAATTGAAATATAATATTCCAACGCGAATAAGTTTAATATACGGTCAGCATACAAACAACGAAAATATACACATTTATGTAGAACATTAAAATAGCATGTCAGATTATACTAAACTGTCAGAATTGTCCGTTTGATTTTAAACCTTAATATAATGAGAGTAGCTTATAAAATCACTTGCAGATATTTGACATATGGTGGAAAGTGAAAATTTTAATGCAAATTTTTAAATATATCTTTAATAATTTTGGTATGTTATTCCATAATCATTTTTGTCAACGCTTTGACTCCTAAAATAAAACCTTAAGAATAACCAATTTTGTTGAATGTCTCTTGTGAATGAAATATCTTTTTAGTTCTGCATAAATATAATTATTTATTTTAATTAGGTTCAGTTTGGGTATTTGCTTTTTTCAAATAAAAAAAAATCTTGCTCTTATTTACCCGGTCTACAGAAGCTTTAGTTCTATCAGCTATTACGACCTCCGTGGGACCTTTAAAGCGCGGTAAGCTAAATTCAGCTTTGTTATCTCCGCCGTACGTGATATTATTCAATGAGAATTATATATTAACATTAGCGATTGCCAGTGAATTCGTCTCTGTGAATGGGGCTGGAACCAGTTTAACGTGTCTTTGGAGGAAAATTTTGAGCTAATACAATTTTGGTCACCCATCCACTAACAGGCCTTTGAAAAAATTGATTCACTTTTGTAAACTTAAAGCCAAAACGGTAGCAGTTACGCTACTGAATATTCTTGAGTATGAAAAATCTGGTATTCAATGCTGACCTTTATATTTACGTAACAAAAGTAAGCTTTGTGTCCTGTGCACAGTGTAACAAAAGTAGGGGCTGATGTGGAAGAAACGTCAATAAGTAATACCCTAAAAATACATATTTACATTTTATTTATGACAATCGATGCTTTAATTAAATGACTCCTAGGACAAAACTAGAATTTAATGTTAATATTTTTTTTTTAAATAGCAGAACTCGTACCATTATCGAGTAAAGACTATATTTCTTTGGCAAAGTTAATAATTAAGATGTAGATAGTGATCAATATAAACACGTGTCAGTATATCAGTATCAATGCTGTTACCGACATTAAAGGAATAACATAAAGCCAAACGTTCGACTATCTCTCTCTATCTCATGTAACTAGTGCGTGCCATTCTGCTCTTTACAGTGTGTCCCATTCATTTTATTATGAATTATTCAACGAAAAAGGCATGGAACACTGACAGAATAAATTATCTTTTCGCAGAAGTAGGGTCACAAACCAGTTAGAAAAAACACTATTGAATGTTATCCAGTTGTGTTTGGGTCGATAATTGCTCGTCTGTGATGTCAAGCTTTATTGGACAGCAAATGCAGTTATGTCAAACGAACTTAAACTTTAGTACATAGTAAATAAAGGTCATAAAGAGAGTATATAAACTTTGGTAGGGAATAATAATCCTTGTCAGAAATGGCGGCGGACATTTTATCTTTTTTTTAGCTAGTGATGTAGTAAAGTATGTTAGTATACTCATATTTTAATAAACACTTTCAAAATATATCTGATAGTTATTCAATGATTATTATAATTACTCTTCTAAATTATAATAATAATAAGCATTATAGCATAATAAGTATCCTACAGATAAAAGATTCAAAGAATATAAATTGGTCATATCTCAAGGTAAAAAGCAAAAACATTAAGATATTTTAAGCAAATATAGTATAGTGAACAGCTCAACATATGTATTAGTAAAAAATAGGAAGGATCCATAACGCTTAAAAAACATTTTTTTTCAATATAACACGAATAGCTCGGTGGCGTAGTGGATAAGCGCAGCGGCCCGCGAACGTAGTCGTTAAGCAACTTTCGCAAGGGTCGGTCACGGGATGGGTGACCAAAAAATGATTATCTCGAGCTACTCCGTGCTTCGGAAGGCACGTTAAGCCGTTGGTCTCGGCTGCATTTGCAGTCGTTAATACCCTCCAATCCGCATTGGGCTAGCGTGGAGGGTCATGGCCCATCCTCCTTAACCATCCATAAGGAAGACCTGAGCCCCTACAGTGGGGACGTAAAGGGCTGGTGATGATGATGACGATCACACGAGATAAATCCTAGTTGTTTTGTTTAAAAATTAGGGAGCGTGAAAATTTATGAAACCGCAATAAGCTCAAAACTATACATTAGAAAAATACGAAAAATATATCGAGATCATTGCAATAAATAACAAAGTTTGTCCTCTTTGTTCATTTTTCAACCTACCCACCTAAAGGAACAGCCATTTTACAAATACATTTATTTACTGTTTAGCATCACTGACTGACACATGTATGCCAAATTTTAATTTAATAGTCTAAAATAGTCTAAACTACGTAGTTTCATAGAAAATCATCTCTGATAGACAGACATACAATCGAATGATTCTATATATAGGGAACCAAAAAAAATTGCTTTTAAAGTATGATCGATAAAATTCGACTTTTAGGATATAACTATATTTTTTATACGGCAGTGTTGGGCGTAGTCATAAAAAAGTGATTTGAAATAATCATGATTACTTATAATCAAGATTACACATGTAATCTTCAATCTTGATAATAGTGGTTAGTTATCAAATAACACAATTATTGTTAACTTGAATTAATATTAATAATACTATACTTTAGTTAACGTCGAGTTCTCATGCGTCTTCATGTAATAGTTTTGATTCAGAAAGGATACTTGACTAATTTTGAAAAAATAAATGTATTAGTCTTTATTATATAATAAGCACATTACATGAATATTTCGGGGAAATTTTCTATTATTAAA